AGCACACATGTAAACAAAGTGTGACGTCATTAGTACAGAGGCTTATTGTGGGACGGGGACCAGCCTACCCGCGAGAATAAAATTATTGTCTGGAAGGAAATAATTCGAAACTGTGAAGTAATAATGATTCAACAACTAAACGGGCTGATTTTTTTGCTCGACGTCTCATTCAAAAGTTAATAACATTCGTATTGCTATAAAAAAAAATAGCAATAACTTAGAAAATGAATCTATTTTTTTGGATAAAACTTGTTAATAGCACGGGGAACGATTCTTGAATATAGGCCCACTTGATGTCCTCAGTAGGCCTATGGGTTCTTTGGGGCACTGTCACTGACAGACAGGTAATTTGATTCTGATCGCTACGTGACATATTTTTATCAGCCTGTATTTCCAGCTGAAGAGGGGATTTGGAGGTCTTCTAACCATGAGGGCGGGCTACCTATCCGTCCCTTTTCCATTACACCACTCCACAGTGTAGGCGTCAGACTGTAACTCGCCTTGTTTTCTAAATTGAGATGATGTCTTTATTGTGAAATGATCAGATGAGCTTCGGTTGGTCGGCGGATCTCGCACCAGCGGCCGAGTGGAGATATACCGTGGCGGCAGCTGGGGCACCATCTGTGATACAACTTGGAACCAGACTGATGCGGGGATCGTCTGCCGACAGCTCGGTTTTTCAGGCGTACTGGAGGCCAAGTCCGCTGCCCACTTCGGGCAGGGTAGCGGACCCGTCCATATGGACGGTGTGGCGTGCGAAGGCTCCGAAGAGAAAATTACCGACTGCCCTTCCCACTGCTGGGAAGAGACAAGTTGTAGCCACTCACACGATGCTGGAGTGATCTGTAGTGATGGTAAGCGAACAATGAGGGCAGTGTAACGAAACCTACACCACCTTGTCAAGGATTCAAATCATCATAGAAAATACTCTGCGTATTCCTATTATTAGAAAGATGGATTTGTTCTTGCGTCATTCAAGAACTAACAATCCATCCAATTTGACAGTAAAAATTATCATTGTGCATTCATCCGAATGAACAAAAGCTCGAATAGTACAAATGTGTGTTCAAGTTATTGGTGGCCTAGCAATAATCGGTTGATGCCTTAATCAATATTTGCATGGGTTTCTTGAACAAGTCCAGATTGTTTATTTCATTTACGTCTGCGCATCTGGAAAATCGTTCAGAAAGAATATTTTATTGACTTCTGTGCTACGGCCTCATGATTGTAGATCAAGGTTTCTGTTAGGACTCAAGTTTTTTTAATTGAAAATTGTTTTGATTTTTTCAGTAATTTTCAACAACCTTAGTTGCAAAGTTTTTGTTTCTCGATTTTGTATTACTGCAGAAAACCCCGTAACAACCAACAAGTGACGAAAGCTAAGCAATCAGGAGGGATAGGGCACCATACATCATCATACACACTCATGTCCTTGCAAAGGGACACTATTTCTTCCATGGTATTTCGGACCATCAAAGCGCCCCTCGTGAACTGCTGGTCGACTTCGTCTATAGTCACGTGACTGGCCTGGGCCTATAACCCGTGCATGCTGTAACAAAATTATATGGAGAGTGGTAACTCGCTTCTCTTGGCATTGTACAGAATATTAATGACTGCGCAATCTATGACACCAGTCTTTGTTAACAGTGCGTACTGGCTAGATGTAGTTTTGAGTCAGAGGCAGAAGCTTTCTTGTTGTCAATGTATGTTTGTGTGCAGCATATACAATGCGCATAAAAAGCATGCAACAATCATAGTCTCTTTGTTTGTTTGAAAAATATATATATACAAAATGATAATAAGAAAACACCAAAAAACTACACAAAAGACCACCCGAAAAACGGAACAGGAGTGGAATCGATAATCAATTATATTTTTGAACTTGCATCAATTTAGATATTTTTCAAAGTCAGCTACTCAGTAGAATGAGTCCATTGATATAAATACGTTCAAATGAAATTGGGGAACGAAAAGTCAAAGCACAGTGGATAAGTAGTGAGGGTGAAAATTGTGGACTCTCTTACACTCTGATACACCGATAAACTTTAATTTTTATTTCAGGAAAAGCTACGATGTTGCGTTTGAGGTAGAATACGTGACGGTGAAGAAACTTTGTCAAATACTATGGTTGATAAACTTAATAATTGTTGTGTTATTGTGCCATGTATAATATTTGCCTTAATCGTATGTTAGAATAAACCTGTCCTTTTTATCTAGGAGTAATATTTATTAGATTTTCAATTACTTTATAACTGCACTTGTTATAGACCTAGTACTTGATTATCATATTACCAAAATAAAAAGAAAAAATAATTAACTGGACACACTTAAGAGGCCTCCTTGCCTTGTCATAGCCAGACCCCCAGGTGGATTCTTATAATTGTTGGTTTGTTTACGATTCATTACGTTGAAATGCTTGTCTTGTTTTATAATATTGATTATTTACTTTCTTTTTAATGCAATAACCGTGCGTGAATACAGCATACAAATTTTGACTTTGGGGTCTCTATGAACTACTAGTTGAACAATTTGGGTCAGTGAGTGGGTCAGTCAGTGTGTTAGGTACAAAGAAGACCGTAGTCAGGCCCTCTGGGACCAGCAGAGTAATTTTTTTGGGGACCAAGGTGAGACTCATGCAAGTCTATTTCACAAGTGAGAGACAGTGAGTCAAGCACAAAGAAGATTGTAGGTTGGCCCCTCGGGGACTACAAAAAGGACCAAAATTAATTGATTACCAATGTTTTTAAATCGATTGCCATCCCAACCATGACCATCGCACAGAATTGCTTTTGATACCATATTCATTGACCCCTGATAAACGTTACATGAAAAGTCACCCAATTTCATGCCGATGGGGGAGTGGGGAACCCCAGCTCTGACTCACATTTTATGTTTTGCATAGAAATATATTATGAATAATGTAAAACCTCTAGTCTGTGACTATATACCGGTAATAATGTCCGCTTGTGCACAACATTCGGACTGAGCCAGCTGGGATACGGGGGCATCATCGCATTTAAACAGCGCCTCCATTGAAAGTTTACGGAGGCCAATAATGTGTCCAGAGGAAAAAACCCTGTGTTACATTTTTAGCATTGATTTGCTGATGACCCCCCCCCCCCCCCCTTGGCAGTATATAACCAATCGTGATGTGTAATGGCGCGCCTGATACAAGCTGTTCTTTCGAGGTTTTGCCACCTTTAGCCGCCTTTATATCCTGTTCAATACTTATATTATTTTCCATTTCTGTCATGAACAGGTAATAAATGTGTTTGAAATTAATTGAATAAAGGGGGCAACTGATCTGGGGCCTACTTACTGCTCTGCAACCACATGTTGCTGCATTGTCACTGCCAGATATTTTTGATATATTGCCCAGAACATTTGAAGGTTAAGTCTGTTTTGGATGAACGTCTTGAACATGGATGTTAGTTACAGGCTCGTCAAACATGAGGGTAACTATGAACCTGAAAGCCAGTGTCAAAACATATCCGTCACAAGGAAATGAATGTCTAGGCCGGGACTTGTTTTCGGCTCCGCCCTAGCTCCCTACGTGAGCAATTTGGTGCATTGGTACTCTACGCAGCAATGTCACTACCCGATGTTTGATATATTGCCCAGACAATGTCAGAGGTTAAGTCTGTTTTGGATGAACGTCTTGAACATGCATGTTAGTTACAGGCTCGTCATACATGAGGGTAACTATGAACCAGAAAGCCAGTGTCAAAACATATCCGTCACAAGGAAATGAATGTTTGAAGCCGGGACTTGTTTTTTGCCCTAGCTCCTTACGTGAGCGATTTGGTGCATTGGTACTCTACACAGCAACGCCACTACCAGATGTTTGATACATTGCCCAGACAATGTCAGAGGTTAAGTCTATTTTGGATGAACGTCGATCTTGAACATGCATGTTCGTTACAGGATCGTCATACATAGGGTAACTGTGAGCCAGTGTCAAAACACATGCGTCACAAGGAAATGAATGTTAACCTTTGCGAAAGATCCTTGAACTTTTTAGTTGCTGGCTTGTCTTAATGTGCGCGTTGGATCTAGTGCCAGAACACATGCGTCACAAGAAAATGAAGAAATGACTTCCAATGTTCACCCATTTGACCTTGCCATATTGGTCCCGCCCAGCTCTGCTGCACATCAATGAATTATAATGTTGTATAACACATTGATAACTTTCCTTATTAGGTTGTTCTGTAGTATATTTATTCAATTTTAATGAAATTAGGTCGCAGGTGCAACCCTGCTCAAGTCAGTTTCTATGTTCAACTTTGAAAAACCATTATCATAATAATAAAAAGTATAGATCTAGAGTAGACATACTTTTCACGTGAAATTTCACTGTGTGACCAGATTTTTAAAAACAAGTTAAATCGTCCCTATAGTCAGGTTTCTATATGACAGACTTGTCATGGCGATTTTGTGCAACTGAGTGATAATAGATGAAACATATGTATTCGTAATCCAGTAGCGGATCTAGAGGGGGTTGGGGCTTGCAATACCCATCCCTCCGCCCAACCCCAACCGCTAGCCGCTGACTAATGTTGATACTAGTAAAATGGGGTCCAAAATAATGAATGGAATGCTAAAGTTACTGAACTGCCTTAGAATGCAGGATCGTAGATTTTAATATTGATCAATCGTTCGACGTTCGCAGAATGTTAAAAAGGGCACTCGTTGCGAAATGTTGGGGAAGGGGATGGTAAATGCCACCGTAACCCCCCCCCCCGGATACTACGCCCTCGTTTAACCCAAGTCGTAAGTCCCCGATATAGCTTCTCAGCAACACAAATAGACCCACGTAGACAACGTCTCGGGGGATTCGTTCCATGGAAGCCAGACGGATTATATATCTGCTCAGCTAACGGCACCTTTTAACCCCGACACATCATGCCCAGCACCATGATATATAAACAGATCAACCAACCTCCGTCGGTTCACACTCGGCTCCAGCTGATCTCTCTTGAAGACGTTTGTATTCCTTTCTCTCATCGTATTCCTAAACAATGTCTTGCTCTGCATCAAATCTGCTGGTGTTGGCTGCCACGCTGATCACCATCACTGCGCCCTCACGTAAGTGTGAAATTGAATTGAACTTTTCGTTGTCAACTGTAATTTTACAGATTATTTTCTGTTGCAAACAAAACAAAAACCAACACATGGAAATCTGTAAGCAGGCAACTGATTTCTATAGCTGAAACTGTGTAGGCTATGTCTGCGGTTTACAGTTACAAGCATCACGATCCCAGCACAAAACGTGTGCACACGTAACAATAAATCTATTTTTGGGCTGAAAATTGAAAATAACTGGGACGGTACATTTTGAAAACATTTTCGTCATGTTAGTTTTCATTTCATAGTTTATTTGTATTGAACATAGTTTCGCTAGTTGATGCCTCATCACTTTTACTACTGTATCCGTATAGTTTATGTACAATATAAGTGAATCCATTGGATTCGGCGCTGTCAGAATGCCCAAACCATTGCCTGAAAACAAGAGACGCATTTTGCGCCTACCTTTTTGTCTGTCAATGTTTATTCCAGTTAAAAAGAATGAAAATTAAAGTATCCCAATTTCGACTTTGTATTTTAGAATTATGCTCGGCCCATCCTGTAGTGCAAGATGTGACGTCACAAGACCAGGCAAGCAGCTCAAGCATATCAGGTAAGCACATGAAACTGCTGATAATTATTTAATTGTAACATTAATGTTTTGTCTGTACCCCTTTGTGTTTGCCGTGTGGCGTTCCGATGGTGGGTGGGGGGGGGGGGGGTGTTCCACTCCTCTCGTATTCCTTTGAGTGAGGGAACACATGCAGTAATAGTTATTATCTGTGCAAGAACAAATATAATGACCCATTTTATCCCCACCCCTGTAATTTAAACCATATCTACAAATATGAAGCTATACCGTGGCTTTATGCAGTCCCAATTCTCTGGATTTGATCGGAATAGAAAACAAGAAAGGGAATGGAGCGGGGATATAGGCCCTATCACATTCAAGAAATACCGATACAATCCATCTGAAGAAGGTCATTAAAAACCAAGCAAAGTAAATATACTTGAAAATGTAACTTCATTTTTCTCGACGCATAGGTTCCCGGTAAAAGTGCAATGGTTTTGTCGTAACCATTCCGATTAAATGATGATAATGACTCTTTTCTCGAAAATGATAGCAAACTAAGCGCACTGATTTCACTCGGTGCATGATCCTATTATTTACTTACAATCAAGTATGATATTTAATAATTTCTTTTATTTTTCTTCTTGAATTTTGCAAAAATTAATGGTGTCCGTTCCCTATAAAGCTGCTTCAGCACGACAAGATGTCAGAATTTGGGACTTTTTGCAGAAGTAAATTTTGGGTGTTTGGTGCAATTCGTGATTGTTTCAGTAAATAACAGTAAGTCAATGAGCAAACGTTCTGCACTCATCATTCAATGAGCAAATTCGTTGGTTCCTATCTCAATTTGGACAGAAATTCCCTAAACTCGGGCTGAAGCGGTTTGCAACATCGCAATCAGTTGTCAGGAAAAACATTGAATACTTGAATGTTTAATGCAAAACTGTTAAACTAGAAATGATGTTTTATGGTTTTCTTGCATTTTAGAGAAACGGAAGGTTGCGAAAAAATATGTTCCAGTGTAAAATTCATGCTGTGGTCCCATAAACAAATTTATTTGGCAGGCAAAATGAGAATGAAAAAACGATATCTTGTATTCGATATATTTTGTGTCATTTCAGGTCTTTCGTGTACGAGTTCTCCACTGGGGATGGCCAGTGGGGCCATCCCTGATTCCAGCCTGACGGCGTCAGGCTCATCCAGCTCATCTTATCTCCCAAGCAAGGCCCGACTGAATAGTAAGTCTCATCGATTGCTACTCAGTCTCTTATTGCCATAGTCTGCAACTGTTGCTTACTTTGTGTTTTTCCCCCTTTTTGTGAGTTAAGACATAGGAATTGTATAAGCCCGATTCTAAAAACAACTAGAAACTTGTAAAAAAAAATACTAATTATCGATGCATTTTGAATGTTTTAATTATGGATTCCATTCCTGGTCAATATGACCAGCCCCTTTCTTTCTCAAGGCTTTAGGCTCATTTGCTTTTCATGCGTTGTTCGTTTTCAATAATAACACCTCTCAAATTTAAAAGATGAATGTTTGAACGTTAAACCTAACCAGTTTAAGCTTCAGCTAATTTTTTTCGCAAAAACATTGAAAAACCATGCACTAACTTTTGACCACGAAAAACACGATTTCGCCCATGGTACTCTGTATTTAAAAAAAAAAGGCGATTGACTGATCGTTGGAAGTCACCACCATTTCTTGACTTCTTCGCTATGGCAGCAAGCCAAACGAAATAATATCACGTGGTGGTAAGTACCCTACGCTCTCTAAGCCAAAAATATTTGATAATAATTCGGTTGGTTACTTCTGAGATACATGCAAATGATCCTACCTGTCTTTAACCCATAAAATGTTGTTTTGTCTAGTTTCTAAATATAAAAAGAGGTCAACCAACAAGAAAAAAAAAGCCTCCGTGGATTCCGGATAATCTCCGCAAGTCAGCTTACTTTCTTCAATATTTTATTTGAACTATTGCTTGAACCCTGTATTCCTAGAAAGCTTGAATAATCTGAAACTGTTCTTGACATTGAGAGAAAGATGCATGGAAGTGATTGTGTGTGAGCACACCACGCCGCATGTATATGACAATTTCCCGTTACATGAAAGCAGCAATACTCATGCTACAGTCAGACCGCGTATATCCTGTATTCAAGTGCTTATTTAAATCCAAGCAATTTATTGCACACTTTTTTTGGCCAGGGATGGGCGATAAGGTTGTCCCCAGAAAAGTCCATGCATTCACCATAAACTTAACCAAATAAAAACCGATTCTGTGTGTCACTCTGTCCGTGCTGCGATTTATTTGACATTGCATTAACTTGTTCTGTAACAGTGTTCTCATGCCCCAGCTGGGTAACTGTCATTAAAACAAAATCAACATCTCTAACTCAAGTCTCTAGCGTGAATTCCTGTCACTGATCCTTTAGGCTCCGCAACAACGAAAAAGTTAGGAAAATTGTGATAACAAAGACCTTGAAATAAAGGACAATAATACAAATTTGGTATTTGAAGTTGCGTCAGTACACAGGTCATGCCTGTTGCAAGTCATTTCTGTTCTGGATAAGTAATCTTTGTTTATTCTGTGGGATCTTAATTGTGAATTAATACATGTTAAGTAATGACAAAACCCTTGATTTCACAAACATTTAATTTTGAATAAACTTAAATTTCACATTGTATCGTCAACTTCTTGGTTGTTTCCTTGGCGGCCGCATTGTTCATGCTCATACAACAATTTGACTGTTCGTATTGACCAACTCATTCCATATAGTCCTCCGTCCCTGATGATGCATTCCTAGGCCCGTCTATGCTGTGCCACTGCGCGCCTAATAAGTTTGGCGTGCCTCTGCTTCGATGCGCATTCGCATTTTGGCGAAGACTGTACAGGAAACGCTTTATGATTGTGCTCATCACAGATATTGACAAGTTCCTCCAATCAGACGATGAAAAAATGCTGCAAGGATTGGATCGACCCCATTATTTATCATATCGAAGTAAATGTTAGTTTGTATGTTTTCCTCGATGAAAAAAGGGCCAATCATGAGAACATTACCTCAAATTCCTTTCAGAATTAAACGGTTGTGTATTTCGTCGGTTGTGGAGAATATTGTCTTACATTCTGGGTATTTACCTCGTCATTCATGGAAAATCCTGCCTCATCGCTAATTATGAAGCGTTCAAGAATCGTGTTGGCCTTGCGAGCAGCCTCTGGCAAAACCTCACTCTCCTCATTTAACATCTAACAAAAACACTGGGGGTCCGGGTCCCTCAGGATAAACAAAGAGTTATACTCGGTCCTCCAGAACAGGAATGACTTCAAATTAAAACCAATTTTAATACAGGCGCAACTTCCAATACAACATTTGCATTATTGCAGGCGCGGTTCTAGAGCCAATATTTTTTGGGGCTATTCAAAGTGGATCCAGATTTTTTTCAGGGAGGCGTGCTGAGATGTAGACCGGTTATTTTCTCCGGACACTTAAGGACTCCGAAAATCAATAGGTGTGGCGGGGAGGGGGGGGGGGGGCGGCTCGTGCCATATTTCCAATGGGGAGCGCTGATAAAATGCTACAATCAGCCTCAGGCACACTATATTAACTTAAAGTCAGTGGCGGTTCTAGGGGGTGGGGGCTGGGGGGGGGGGGAGTTTAGCCCCAAAAATTTTGACTAGCCCCCCGCCCCCGAAAAAAAATCCATCAAAACAAAATTGCACTAGCGAAATGTAAGAATGTGACGTACATGGGAACGGTCTCCCCCTAGAGAAATCGTCGTGAGAAGGGTACAATTGTACAGTTGTAATTAATATAGTGTGCCTGATTGTAGGATTTTATAGCACTCCCCATTAAAAATATGGCACGAGACCCCCCCCCCCACCCACCCACTTATTGATTTTCAGAGGCCTAAGTGTCCGAAGAAAAAAAACGGTCTACTTTTCAGCACGTCTCCCTGAAAAAAATATAGATCCAACCTGCTAGCCCCCAAAAATATTGGCTCCAGAACCACGCCTGCTAAAAGTGTACAAATGCACCCTTCTCACGACGATTTTTTTTTTTTTTTGGGGGGGGGGCTTACCCATCCAGCCGCCACCGACCCCCGTAAAACTACCACTGTATAATTGTCATAATCACTCCGTAACGGTTGTACTTTTCTTAAGGAAACCCTGTAGTATTGGGTTCTATTTTATTTTGAATGCCATGGTCTTTTGTTTTATTCCCCACAGGCACTGGTTGGTGGGTATGCCCGCGTGGAAAGCCCGAGGGTCAATGGATCCAGGTAGACCTCGGTCAGTACACGGCCATCACGGGGGTCATCGTACAGGGACACAGTACGCTACATATCCGAACCTTTGCTGTAAACTACAGTAATACCGGCGAGTCCAATGATTGGCAGAAACTAACTGACAGAGGACAGACCGTACAGGTGAGCCTAGGATCCTGTCAAGATCTATTCTCCAGTTTTCACATTCAAAATGGACAGTGAATAACAGAAGGCCAATCGGACGGCAGGGGCGGCGGAACCGGGGGGGGGGGGCTGGGTGCCCCTTTTGCGGTCATAAAATAATGTGCCCCCTCGCCTCCAGCAGAAAAGTGCCCCTTCGAAAAAAAAAAGCCTCAAAGTATATTTCTATGTCTTAGAAGTAACCATTTCCCAATAATGATATAGATAGTTTTGATATAAACGAGGAATATGAAAACAAAGCCCCCAAAACCCATACAATACGCCCTGAAAAGGGGCACAGGGGCACATAATGCCTAGTTAGCATATAATCATCAGTTTTGAAGAGCGCCCCCTATGTTGGAAGATGGTACAAGCCCCCCCCCCCCCCCCCCCCCCCACACACACACACACACACACGCGCGCACCCAGACTTACGTTACATACCTTGTGTGGACATTGCTTTGTTTTCGTGTAGTTAAGAAAACTCGGTACAAAAAAACAACTTTACTTAAACTGTGAAAACTCTTTTAACCCAATTTTTTTTCTATGATTCCCTATAGTGTTTCTCTTCATTCTGCTACTGATAAACCTAACCCAAAAATGCCTCTAAACCTGTTTTCCAGAAAGCGCAAAACGTTATGTGGACACGGCCTAGTCCACATAACATTAACACAACCTGCATTATGTGGACATCTTTTGTTCACAAGTCCACATAGGGAATTTAAGACAATTTCACTATTTGATTTTACTGAGGCCAAGTGTCCGGTAAAAAACACGTGTCGACCTTTCAGCACGGATGTGAAAAAAAAATGCTGAGCAAGTTCCCCTTTTTGGTAATGCCCCCCCCCCCTTCCAGTTTCAAACCCGTTCCGCCGCCGCTGTCGTACTGAATCTCAATCGTTCCAGGTTTAATAAGTGAAGTATTGTTTTTATTGTGATAATATTATAACTGTCTCACACTCCCTGCTAAGGAAACCTCCCACCACACCTTCAAAGGAGATGGAATCAAGTTATACATGGTGCCTCTATTAAACTCATCAATATTCTCTCTCAGCAGTGTCAATTTACACGTGAGGACCTCCATCAGAATATTTCCCGCTTTGACTCCCAACTCAAATCCAGTTGCTCTGATTCCACGTACAGGAATTTCCATGATGAGATTGAAAGGGGTTTGTCTAACCTTGATTCTGTCCTACTCAACAGGAGAAACAAGAAGAATGGTGGCTTGCTTGCCAAGCAACAGCAACGCAGACACAGACGTTTCAGACGTCCTAGGTCCCCATCTACCACGCCACCGCCAGAACCCACTGTCAACACTGTAGTTAATCTTTTTTTCCTCATCAATACCTGACGCAGAGCACAAACTTCTTTCCAAGGGTCTCAATGTTTGTCCCGCTCCCCGTTCTGTGAACCAGGTTCAGCTCAGCCAAGTTCTCACGGAATACTACCGTAGAATCCGTCTGCGTGAGTTTTTCCTGGACAGTGAACCGTGTGAGCCAGAGCCTTTTCGAGTCAAGAGTTCATGGGTACCCCCCAAGAATCGTGTGCCAGCCATAGAGACATACGTTCAAGTTATCAATTCCCAAGTCACTAACCCGAACAACTTCCCCCACAGGACTCATGATAATCTCCCCAGAGAGGAGCGCCTGGCTCTCAACTCCTTGCGCTCTCGCACCGACATCATCATCAAGCCAGCAGATAAAGGTTCAGCTGTGGTCATCATGGATCGTTAGCAGTACATTGATGAGGCCCACCGCCAATTGGATAATCGCACTAACTATACCCGCCTTGACTCTGACCCCACATGCACTTTCTGTCGAGATATACAACGGGAAAGGCCCCTGATGCCATGGCCAAACCCATGATTCATTTGGTTACCACGTTTCACCCCAATCTCCCTCCCCTTCGCAAAATCACTAATGACAATCATCATATCCTCCATACTTCAGATCGCCTTGCCTGCGCCATCCCCAACGGCCCCACATAGGCTTACAGGCGTCCTCGAAATCTACGGGACTTGATTGTTCGAGCTGAAGTCCCATCCTTAGATGCATCCCCTGCCACCCAGCATGGTACTTTCAAGTGCAGTTCCAGATGTGTTGTCTGCCAGATTCATATCCAGGAGTCTGACTCCTTTTCTGGCCACTCTTCTGTCACTACCCACAGAACCATTGGTAACATCACTTGTAACACCTCTAATGTCATATATCTCATTTCTTGCAGGGTCTATGGAGTGCAGTATGTAGGTGAGACTAAGAATACGCTCAAGAAGCGTTTCTATGCCCACCGGTCAACGTTCAACACCAAAAAAATAGACACCCCTGTTGGTCATCACTTCAACCTGCCTAACCACTCCATTTCTGATATGATTTTTGCAGGGCATTGAATCTCTTGGCCATCGCAAGGACTCAGTTCGCCTCAGCAGAGAGAAAGTGTGGATGAATCGTCTTCGAACTATTCAACCACATGGTCTCAACATCCAACTTGGAAATGACTAATCCTTTTCTTCCACCATTGTCTTCTGTTACAGATAATCCACCTGGTCTTCCTTGTTTGTGTTTACCCATCTTCCCCCATCTTTCATCCCTTTCCGCCTCTATACTGTCCCTCCCCCCCCCCCCGCATCATCCCCCTTCACTCTCACACTCTTTTGTCCGTTCAACTCCCTGTGACCTTTGATCCTTCCCCTTTCTGGTCCCTCCCCTGGTTACACAAGACCCCTTGTGGTTTGCCATCTCCCTTTGTTTCTTTGTTCTCTCATCCACCCTCCCCTGCATCTTTCCACACCTTTCCCACCTAATCCTCCTTTTGTGTTTCTTCTTTCAGCCCTGCATGTTTGTGTGCACCCCCATGTTAATGTATGTACCTCTGTCATTTCTGTTTTAGCCTCTGAAGAAGAACTTGCTAAGTTCGCAACGTCAGGCCACATTAATTTTTAGATTTATATATGTCAGGTCCACCCAGTCAGTAAGCAGTTTGCAGCAGTCTTCCTTTTTTTCATAATATTATAGCATAAGTTTTGCGAAAGATCTCGATGTATTTATACGCTATGCGTTTAACGCAATACTTTTGCGTTGAAAAAAAAAACTATCGAGTTAGTTTGCAAAGCTATTGCGTTACTTCGCAAAAGTTTTATTGCTTTTAATAAATTTCGCTAAACGATTCCATCACGCCTATTTCGTTAACTGTTAAAAAATATTGCGTTAATTCGCACGCGTTTATGCTAGTGCGTCATTTCGCAAACGTTTCGGCCCTAGTTGCATTAATTTGCAGAGGTAGGCCTATAAAGTATTACGTTAAAAAAGGTTTTTCTTTTAAACCTGAAACGATTGGGTCTCATACATGATGTCAAATTACGTGTCGTTGTTTAAATAAGTAAAGTATTGCTTTGATTGTGATATTATTATAGCAAAAGTTTTGCGACAGAACTTGATGTATTTATACGCTATGCGTTTAATGCAATATTTTTGTGTTGGAAAAAAAAAACTATATCGAGTTAGTTTGCAAAGCTATTGGGTTAATCTGTAAAAGTTTTATTGCTTTTAATAAATTTTGCTAAACGATTCCATCACGCCTATTTCGTTAACTGTTAAAAAATATTGCGTTAATTCGCACGCGTTTATGCTAGTGCGTCATTTCGCAAACGTTTCGGCCCTAGTTGCATTAATTTGCAGAGGTAGGCCTATAAAGTATTACGTTAAAAAAAGTTTTTCTTTTAAACCTGAAACGATTGGGTCTCATACATGATGTCAAATTACGTGTCGTTGTAAATTTAAACAAACCTTTGATCTGCATTTCCTTTGACTTAAGCTCGGGTCGCGACATCCGTTTACACTCAAGCACCGGCGGTGATGTCTTGTCAACATTGAGGGGGCAAGTAGCATGGGCATTCGTAAAGCGAGGGGGGGGGGGGCGGGTCGACGCCACCTGACTCTATGGGGAGCTTTTCAAACATGTATATAATGGTACACGTATTCGCGTTTTACACCAAATCCTTCTAGTGTGTTTTATTTACATGAAATGGGCGTGGAAGACCAATATCTTAGCTTTATTACACGTACCGAATAATATTGGTAAGATATAATATGCAACTGCATCTATATACACTGTGATAAACTGTTGGGGAGCATCGCCATCGTCGTCTTCCCCTGCAGCGCAAACATTATTTGGCACCCCCCCCCCCCCACCGGCGCCTCCCTCCTCCCCCGGATCGACGCCAGTGGTATCAAGGCGAATACATTGTTCATTATGTTTTCTTCACGTCGCGTACATTTCAGACTTGGAAACTGAAGTGACATAAGAATTATAAAAAATTGAACATAATTTCTGGAGTAAAAATTTCTAGAGTGAAACTTATATCAAGTGACATGTTTTAATTGTCACAAGCAACTCTGAATCAGATCATCATTCACATCACCCAAGGTGTTTACAGGCATGTAATTGGAGTTTCATGTTAAAATGTTAAAAGGCGCCAAAAACATGAACATCTTCCTATATCGGCGCAGCTCTTACGCAAAGAAGCCCGACGTACGTATAAGGAATATTTGAGCTGCCTGATGTTGCGTTGGTGGTGATATTGTAAATCGTTATATTTTTTTTCCAGTTGAATGGGAACAGTGGTAGTGGACAACCTGTGAATGTGACGTTCCCCGTGGTACTGATGGCAAGATTCCTCCGCATACTTCCACTCACATGGAGTAGCTCTGTTTATTATTTCCTGAGGTTCGAAGTGCTCGGTTGTCGAGGTAATACAAATGTGCCCATCTAAACAATCTAAGTCACCGTAGAAAGGCAATGATACTGCTAGTCACTTTGGTGTTTTTTTATGGTTAGATCAGTTTAGAGATCTAGGCTTATTCCAACGCTGTAAGAACCAAATGCGGGCACTGACTTGAGTTTCATATTGTGATGAAAAATTATTAGAACCCGGAGGAAGTTGTATTAATACAAGTCATATCTATAATTATGTTGAACTCATACTGATGTAACAGTGATTCCGATGCAGGCCGAATGATCAAGTTGGTATCTGACTGTTTTAATTTTATTTTAGGTCTACACTATAAAAAGTGCGGTGTAAATTGAACACCGGTGGTCCTATGAAGATACCACCGGTGTTAAATCTAGCACCACTATTTTTGCAATGTGGGTTGCTTTGACCCTCATAAAACCTGTGTCAGTAGGCTATCAAGGTTATGAATGTTGGAGGGTTGTGAGTTGGGAGTTGGGATGATGTTATTGTCGGCTGATATCACTTGCTGGGTGTGTTTATTCGTTTCTTTTCCGATTGATGACTCGTGTTGGTCCAGCTCTGTTGCATTCTGACAGTGCCCAGTATAAATCATACATGAAACGATGGGTTTGGATCACAAATTGGATAATGACCTTCATATTGCAAATTGAGTGGGGGATTTGAGTTAAGTTGCCTTTAATAAACAAAGACAAAGGAATTATCATTATTGTCAGACAACAGTCATCAATGGAAGGGGGAATACGTCTGGTTAGGCGAATTGAGCCATGAAACGGCACCCCGCGATAGGGAAAGAATTTAAAGGAATGATATGCATTTGCACACTCATCTTTTGCGTGTTTTGCGTTCAAATTATAGATACGATTATTGAGGCTGGTCGTATCACTCACAAACATTCGGCCAAGAAGTGAATCTCATGAAAGAGTGTCAATCTTACAAGACTAATTATTATTGAGAGTTAGGCCTACGTTTGATTGTTGTTTAAAATCGGAACGCACAGTTCATTCAAGAACTAATTTTGAAAGGAAATAATTCTCGATCTCAACAGTCACTAGCGGCATGATTCGATTGATTGGCGGTGATGACAAATGGAGCGGCAAAGTGGAAATCTACCGCCATGATGCTTGGGGTGCAGTCTGCGATAGCAGTTGGGATATGAAGGACGCCACCACCGTTTGTCATCAGTTCGGCTTCATCGAGGCTCTGGAGGCTAAAACGGGGTTGTCCAGCCGAGAGAGTGACCGGCCGATCGTGATGAATCGAGTCGCCTGTACTGGAACTGAACGACGGCTGGCTGACTGTCCGTTTGTCTGTACCGGCTCTCAGCAATGCAGCAGCTCAACTGTAGCAGGAGTCGTTTGTAAACCAAGACCTGGTAAGAAATACTCCGCCCTCTTTAGTTTCCGTGACATGTCATTCACATCCGACTTTGTGTCTTATACCTCAGCTTATTACACAAGTGAATTTTGTGTTATCAAATCATCTCCAGGTATTTATGATATTTCAGCGTTCTCTGAAGATAAAAGTCACATAAGGAGGTACGCAACCCTGAAACACATTCTTCAAACAAAAGCACTTCCCTAATGAGTATAGGAAAAATATACTGATGAAATCAATGAAAAATCTGAAACAATTATTGTTATCTCTTACAGCCACGAAATAGGCATTCAAAAATAGGAATTCAAAACCTTACTTGTGCCTCCCAATACTGATTATTTGGACCATATTTCTTTTAAGGTTGAGTTCCCCTTGCTCTTCAACATATCATTTTTTTTCCTATTTATAAATTTACAACTACGTCCATTTTGGACGTCTGCAACCCTCTGAAGAAGAAAAAAATGATTTGGGCACAAACAAACCCACTTTGCGAGCAGACTGGCTCCCGGTCCGTACATTATCGATACTAATAAGCCTCTGTGCTACTAATGACGGCACACTTTGTTTACATGTGCAATTTCCTATGGAGCCAGTGGGGGCCCACGGTCCACTAAGAACCATAGAAAAGCACACATATAAACAAAGTATAACGTCATTAGTACAGAGGCTTATTGTGGGGCGGGGACCAGCCTACCTGCGAGAATAGAATTATTGTCTGGAAGCAAATAATTCGAAACTGTAAAGTAATAATGATTCAACAACTAAACAGGCTGATTTTTCGCTCAATGTCTCATTCAAAAGTGAATAACTTTCGTATATCTATAGAAAAAAGCAATAACTTAGAAAATGAATCTGTTTTTCTGGAAAAAAAACTCGTAAATAGCACGGGGAACGATTCTTGAATATAGGCCCACTTGATGTCCTCAGTAGGCCTATGGGTTCTTTGGGGCACTGTCACTGACAGACAGGTAATTTGATTTTGGTCGGTACGTGACATATTTTTACCAGCCTGTATTTCCAGCTGAAGAGGGGATTGGGAGGTCTACTAACCATGAGGGCGGGCTACCTATCCATCCCTTTTTCATAACACCACTCCACAGTGTAGGCGTCAGACTGTAACTCGTCTTGCTTTCTAAATTGAAATGATGTCTTTATTGTGAAATGATCAGATGAGCTTCGGTTGGTCGGCGGATCTCGCACCAGCGGCCGAGTGGAGATATACCGTGGCGGCAGCTGGGGCACCATCTGTGATTCCAATTGGAACGAGACTGATGCGGGGATTGTCTGCCGCCAGCTCGGTTTCTCAGACGCACTGGAGGCCAAGTCCGCTGCCCACTTCGGGCAGGGTAGCGGACCCGTCCATATGGATGGCGTTGCGTGCGAAGGATCCGAAGAGAAAATTACCGACTGCCCTTCCTACTGCTGGGAGGAGACAAGTTGTAGCCACTCTCACGATGCTGGAGTGATCTGTAGTGACGGTAAGCATATAATGAGGGCAGTGCAACGAATCCTATACCACATCTTCAAGGATTCAAATCATCATTGAAAATACTTCGCGTATTCCTATCATTAGAAAGATGGATTTGTTCTGGCGTCATGCAAGAACGAGTGCTCCATTCAATTTGATAGTAACGATTTTTATTGTGCAATCGTATACCTTGATTTAAATGATAAAAAGCTGAAATAGTACAATGTGTTGAAACTATTAGTTGCCTAGCAATAATCGGTTGATACCTTAATCAATATTTGCAAGGGTTTCTCGCATGAAAGTATGTCCCGATTCTAATATTCGCATATGTCTGCGAATCTGATGATCGTTCGGAGAGAATATTGTATTGACTTCGGTGTAAAGACGGTCTCTTGATTGTATAGAGCCAGGTTTCTGTTTAGATTTTATTCAGAACACATTTTTTTTTAATGAAAACTGTTTTGTTTTGAGTTTTCTTCAACAACCTAAGATGCAAACTTTTTGTTCTGCGCTTTTGTATTACTGCAGGAGACACCGTAACAACCAACAAGTGACGAAAGCTAAACCGCTCAAGCAACCAGGAAGGATAGGACACCAACTATATTATTATACACACTAATCTCCTTTTTTTTAAAGGGACAATTAATATTTGTTTCATGGTATTTTGGACCATTCAAAGCGCCCATCGTAATTGCTGGTCGAATTCTTCTATACTCACGCGACTGGCCTGGGCCTATAACCCGCGCATGCTGTAAAGTCAATATACGGAGAGTGGTACCTCGCTTCTCTTGGCATTGTAGTATATTACTGACTGGGTAATCTACGGCACCAGTCTATGTTAACAGTGCATGTCGGTTAGATGTAGTTTTGAATGAGAGTTCTTCTTGTCAATGTATATTTTTGTGCAGCATTATGTAATACACATAAGATGGCATGCAACAATCATGGGGGCTTTATTTGTTTCATATACAAAATGATACTAAGAAAACACCACAAGACCACCCCCCCCCAAACCCCCCCCCCCCCCCCAAATATGCGAACAGGAGTTGAATCGATAATCATTACATTATTGGACTCCATCAATTTGGATAGTCGATTCATATAAATACATTCAAATAAATTTGGAGAACGAAAAAGATAAAGTTCAGTTGATAAGCAGTGAGGGTAAAAATGTTGGACTCTCTTTTACTTTGATACACCGATAAACTGTAATTTTGTTATTTCAGGCAAGTTAACAATGTTGCGTATAATGCGTAGAATAGGCCTACTTGAAGGTGAACAAACTTTGCCAAATACGTTGAATTAATTTCATGATTTGTGTCATGCAAAATGTTCGGCGGAATATTATTTAAAAATAAACGTGCGTGTTTTGCTTGGGATGACGCTTAATTTTGTTCCTATAAATGTACATAGAGCTACACACAAGAAAGCACTTGAAACCTATATCATTATCAAACCTAATTAATTTTGCATTTGAGCCACGTATAATGTTAGCCATTAGAATAAACCCTGAATTTTATCTGGGGATAATACTTATTAGATTTCTCATATATTTAAATCAGCACACAAGAAAGCACTTATTGTAGCAATTTGTAGACCTACATTATTATCATGCTGCAAAAATAAAAAGGAAAAGAAAAACAATTTTATCTTGCAACTCAAAATGTGGTCCTCGTAATAAAGGGTTCATGAGATGAATTTTTCTTAGGCACACATTTTGTGTAACTTTCTACTCCTCTTCAATGTATGGAAACTACTTGTACGATCCCTTTTTGGTTAAATTTTTATTGAAAAGTGCACTTTAAACATTTATGATTGTCCATACTTTTCCGGACAACCGAGGGCTTTGTTTCACTTTGATGTTAATTTAGGAAGACACTGTTCAGTTAAGGCGTTTTCTGCTCAAATCGTGAACTCAAAAATGTGCTCATTAAAAACGTTTGTGACCGAGAAACGTTTACTTGCTTTAATGCCATGTAGTCGACAAAGAAAAGAACAATTTCGAAGCAAATCGTGATAAATTCTGACAACTGTTGATGCTGACATAGCTGTAACATGGAGGTTTCTGCTTGAATTGACATCACACTTTTGCTCATGAATATGGAAATTCGCATGAGCATAAAAAACAAAATGGTACCAAAATAGCCTTAAAAATCGCAAAACGATAATTGAAAATAAAGTTAAATGGGACACCAATGTGCATTTTCAAGGATTGCATTAAAGCAACGCCCTGGTACAGACAAAATCCGAGCACGCTAACAACTATCACGACGGCCCCTTTCAATGGCGAGGCATTGTGCTAGCTATTGTTCAGATAATTCGGCACGAGGCATGCAGTTGTTTTGTGCAATAGCTTGCGTAATGGTTTCTCCATTAAAGGGGGCCTCGAGAGTGTATACGGTGATCAGGTGCGCCAGGATTCGTCCAAAAAAATCAGCAGGATAAACTTTGCACAAAATCGGGCAGAGGGTTGCCTAACGGCGCATTTGAACGAACTTCTCAGTCTTTCTCGGATTTCATCAAAAACCATACTTAGCGTCACTGCCATATCCATCAACATGTTCGTCAGCGCAGGAGCAGCGATTTCTTGTCAAACTGGGAGTAGGGGAGGGGGAGGCGGGGGGGGGGGGCAGGAGGACAATCAGAAAGACATTCCAGGTCGCAATTTTGAGTGGTTGAGAGGATTTCCGTCATCGTAGGTCAAGACGTTTCGAGGTCATACCATTAGAATCAGCTAAGCTATTCGTAGCAAGCGTTTTTTTTTACACGGTGGGTCGCTGGCCCGCTGGCCCAACGCGCAACCCGGTAGGCCGACCAGGAGAGGATGGAGTAATAGCGGTATGGTTTTATACTTCCGAGGTAGCCTTCTACTAGGCTGTTATTCAACCAAGGCTGACGAGCACCACCCGCACGGGTTTCGAATCAGAGTTTTCCGTCTATTAGGAGGGTTGCCTTACTGAAACCTGCCTTCCAAATATTACTGCAGTGTCACTGCCAAATGTTTGATAAATTGTCCAGACAATTTCAAAGATCAGTCTTTCGGATGAACGTCTTGAACATGAATGTTAGTTACATGAAGGCTCGTCATACATGAGGGTAAATAGAGCCAGAAAGCCAGTGAGAAAACATATCCGTCACAACTGCAGGAAACGATGTTTTGGGGTCTGCTCACAAGTCAGACGCCTCATAGGTCTGACGCCTCATAGCTCCGACAAAATTGCATCCCCCAACCAAATAAAGGCCCATAAGTCCGACGCCTCATAGCTCCGACGCCTCGCACGCTTCGTTTTTCCGACGTCAGACTTATAAGGCATCGGACTTATGATACGGCCCCGATGTTTTAACCAGGACTTGTTTTCGGCTCCGCCTCCCTTTACGTGAGCAATTTGGTGCATTGGTACTCCACACAACTATGTCACTACCAGATGTTGATATATTGCCCAGAAAATGTCAAAGGTTAAGTCTGTTTTGGATGAACGTCTTGAACATGCATGTTCGTTGCAGGATCGTCATACATAAGGGTAACTATGAGCCAGTGTCAAAGCACACGCGTCACTTCCAATGTTCACCCATGTTGGCCCATAGTTGGTCCCGCCCAGTTCTCGGTAGTCGAGTCTTGCGAATCGGGCGCTTTCTATATCGGGTCTTCGGTCATTCACCCGTTGTCGCGTTTGAGACATCGATAAATAAAACCTATAGACACTACAATAGTACGCTATATTATAGTGATAAGCGTACGCCACGCCAAGCTTGTCTTGGTTATATATATATATGCCCGGCCGGCCGTTGTTGTATTACAAAAAACACTTCATTCGAACTGACCAATCAAACCTTTAGTCCAGACTTCGAACTGAAATAACTTCACGATTTAGTAAAGTCGACGGCTCCGTCCGAGGCATCGGCACCAAATTCGTGTCGATGCAATTAAAGTACAAAACACTGTACAAATCAAGCTAGGGTAAACTGGTATAGGTCCTAACTCTAAAAGCCTGCTGTCACCAACGGCGTCAATTTCTGCTTAATCTTCTTGACTGTATACTGTACACAACGCCCAGTTGGACTATCTCGGTATATACAGTGGTTAATATGGCATGTGAGCGAACTGCTTTTCGGGGTGGGGGGGGGGTATGACTGCAACCAAATAATTTTGCAGTGTCACTGCCAGATGTTTAATGTATTGCCAAGAACATTTCAAATTAAGGTATGTTTGGGATCAACATCTTGAACAGGCTTGCAGGCTCGTCATGACTGAGGGTAATGTCTGCCAAAACATGAATGTTTAAGGGGGAAGTTGTAATCGGCTCCGGCCTAGGTCCCTGCATGCGTGGGCAATTTGAGGCATTGGTCTGTACACCAATGTCACTACCAGATGTCTGATGTGTTGCCAAGCTAATGTCACGGTCTGGGCATTAAAGATATACACGGCACGCATAAGTGACATTTATTCACATAAAAAATGTCGTGAAATACATTGCATCCCCACAGGATGAAACTTCACACTTCATCGACTTCGCATAATGTGTTTACTTTCTTAGAGTTTAGGCACTCTATTGAAGATGGTCACTGAGAGTATCTACTGACAGGAACGTCGAGTTTATACCTCTGCTTCTTTTCAGAACTATTCTCTTAGTTGAGAAATTCCCACATGGTGTTTCCGCAAACCTTTCATTCATTATTATGCACCATGCAAAGCCTCAAGTCTTACCTAAATTCATTCCGATATATCTCTAAATAATTAAGAAATATCTTGAAATTATTTAAAGATACCTCAAAATCATTGCAAGATATCTTAAGATGCGTTATGATATCTCGAAATCAATTTCAGGATATTTTAAAATCAATTTCAATGTATTCCTTTAGAGTTGGTATATACGTGCTTTTTCAAAATTTCGATTTCCTTTTCCGAACGAAATTTAAAGGAATATAAATGTCCTGTAACAAATAAATTTGTTTCTTTCTTTTTGCAGGCCTTTATGCAGTTTAAAAAGTGGTGTGTACATGACTGTGTGTGTTGGTGCGTTTGTTTATGGTGTAAATCGAGGACACACACACGTGCAACATCATCGGTACATCAAGGTCAGAAACCGAATCGAGGACTCTTTGGAAAACGTGTACAAAACCAATGAGAGCTGTTGCGAAAAATGTAGTATATACAAAGGAAAAGGGAAGAGGAACAAAAGAAAATCCTCGATTTACACCATAAACAAATGGGTGCGTATGTGCCGTGTATACACACATATTACATTTAGGTCCTGGCTTCAAAACGAATTAGGAGCGTCCCGCTCTTAATTAAAAAGTTGAAATTAATTAATTGATTACTTGTCGTGGGCCGATTTTTTTCGTGCGATATCTCGTTGGAAAGCTCACGACTAATGTAATGCCATATTTATCAATTCAATTTGAAAAAAACTTTATTTCAAGGTGCCACACCCAAAAAAGCACGAATGCACCAAACTTAAATGCATACAGAGATATCTTGAAATGGTTTCTGCTTCCGACACGGTGATATTGCAAGCACTGTCGGGCATTTGGTGAACACAGAAATAAATCGGGATGTCTTGAAATGAATTCAGGACCTACTTGAAATGGATTTCAACATAACTTGAAATGGATTGAAATTGATTTCGAGATATCTTGTAATGAATCAAGAAATATTTTGAAACCGTTTGAAAATATCTTGAAATCGATTTCAAGATATCTCGAAATATTCACCAAGAATTTTTTGAAATTGCCACACAATGTTTAGACATGATACGTTATTGGAGATGTCTTGAAATAACTGGGGATATCTTGAAATGATTGGAGAGTATCTTGAAATAACCAAATTCTCATAAGCCACCGCTTAAACCTGATTTAATGTCACTTTTGCGCGCCATAAAGTTCCTTGAACATTTTAGCCGCTAGCTCGCCTTAATTTGCGAGGTTTATCCAAATGACAAGAACACATGCGTCACAAGGCCTTGGGAAGAGAAGTTGAATTCCAATGTTCACCCATTTTGGCTTTGCCATATTTGGTACCGCTTACTTCCCTGCCGAACATGTTTGGATTCTATTGCGCTTTTTTTGTAATTGTATAAACACATTGATACGATTCATTACTAATTCATCAAAACATTTTTTTAGAAGGTTTATTTCAGTTTCAACATAATCGGTTTCATTAAACTGAAACTTAGGAAAGCATTATTAAAAGTGGAATGCATTCAATGGGTCTAGTTTTCAAGTGAAATTCCACTGTATGACCAGATTAAAATAGGTTAAATCGTCCCCAATCAGGATCCTATGACTGACTTGTCATGGAAACCTTGTGCAACTGTCATTGTTGGAGATGAAACTGTATTTGCAATTCCATACTTATATAAACCAAGAACTGAAAGCTACGTGGTGACAAGAACAACTTTTCAGTCCCACAATATCATTTTTGAAGTTGTGTGAACGATTTAGAAAAATCGTACGGACGGTGGGAACGATGGGAAAACGTGTGAAAGATGCCTGCGAGATTGAGTACTAAACAAAACTGGAATATTCTTGTATGCCCCTTCCATTGGGATAGGTGCCCAAGGGCGCATCCAGAACACATTTTTTGGGGGGCCAAAAAACTTGTTGGTCTCCCAAAAAGTGGGTCTCAAAAATGACGGCATGGGGTTTAGGGCCCGCTTAAGGGCCCCAACACTTGTTTTGGGATTCTAGATGCTCTGTGGTGCGATCTGAGGCAATTTCTGACCACTTTTTTTTAGGAACAGATAGTGGTGTACGCAAAAAGAACAGAAAATTGTTTCTTTCTTTCTTTCTTTCTTTTTTTTTTTTTTTTTTTTTTTTTTGGGGGGGGGGGGGCATGGCCCCCGCTCAATGGATTCACCCTTGTAGATGCCGGTGGACAGGGAAGGGGCATACCCCCCCCCCCCCCGCCTTTAACTAGAATGACGGCACAACGGATAACGCTCCCCATACAGATTGTTGGCTTCCTACCAACAAAAACAGACCCACGTAAACAACGTCTCGGAGGGATTGATTGTTGCAGCGAAGTAAGACATCTGCTCAAACATTTTATCACCGACACACCCTTATATGGTAGCCATATATAAACCGATGACCAACCTCCGTCGGCTCATACTCGACTCCAGCTGATCTCTCCGGAAGACGTTTGAATTACTTTCTCTCATCGTAACAATGACTTTCTCCATATCTTTTCCAATGGTGTTGGTGGCAACATTTGCCATCATAACTGCGCCCTCACGTAAGTGTAAAACTTAATTGAATTCTTTATATTAATGTTAATTGTAGTTTTAGAAAATATTTTCTATTGCAATCATCTCAGGAAAACCTGTAAGCAGGCAACCGATTTTGAAACCTGAAATTTTGCATTTCTATAGTATTTAGAGTTACAAACATTACGATTGTAGCCCGGAACGTGCGTACACGTTTGTTTTAGAAGATGTTTTAAAACTGAAATGATTATATATAAGCGCTCCAATGGTTTGATTTGTGAAGATCAACATTTCAAAATATTATACGGCCAAAATTCCTTCGCCCGATGATTTCATGAATGCCTGTTGGTGGCAACACTTGCCATCATAGCTGCGCGCTTACGTAGGCCTATAAGCGTGAAACTGATTTGAATCTTTCATTTTCAACTTTTTAGGAATTATTTTCTAGTGTAAACAGCACATGGACACCCGTGTGTAGCTGAAAGTGTATTTCTAAGGTTTACAGTTATAAACATCACGATCCTAACACAAAACGTGTGCATATGTACTTTGTATATCAATCATGTGTTACTGGAATGACAACTACACTGAAAAATTGCCTGGATTATTTTTCCCAAGAAAGGGTGCAAACTGCAGCTACCCCAAATTGGGTTGTTCTATAGCCAATTGTTTGGGTTCGAATTTCTGTTAAATTCAACCAAAAGTTGTAGTCATACAATACCAAATTAAATTTGGTCTGGTATGATCACAAGTTTTGGTTGAATTTAACAGAAATTCCAATCCAAACAATTGGTTATTTATAGAACAACTCAATTTTGGGTAGTTGCAGTTGTCACCCTTTTATAATTGGGTAAAATTAGCGCAGGCAATTGTTCAGTGTCCTAGCGCTGCAAGGGCTGTACTTTTGAAGATCAAAATTTGTAAGGCCGAAATTCCTTCGCGTGATGACTTTATGAAAAACGCATTTTTTTTTTCAAGTTATACTTGTATGGACGTTTATGGAACTTTTTGAAAGATCTTTGGAACTGTAATTATCTCGTTACAGAAATACGTTTCAGAGCCCCGAGTAAGGGCGCATTTCCGACAAAAGCATCCAAGCGTTTCAATTGGACTTGTGTTCAGTCCTTCCGAGAAATTACACCCAAACCGGATGGATTCAATGTCTTATTATAAAGAATTTAACCAAACTTATTATGTGCCTCTTTTACTAAAAGATATCCCGTTTGTGCTCTTAAATTTAATGGTTTTGCTACTGACGAATTTTAAAACTTGTTTCGTTTATTTTGATGAAAAAATACTTTCTTCCTTTTTGAGCGTCCGCAATCTTTTCAAAGGCAGGCTTATATTTTGCCCACAAACAAATCCCTGTGAGTAAACTGGTTCCCAGTCCATAGATAATCAATCCAAATGGGGTCAAGAACCAGTCTACCCTTCGAGAACTGAATTATTAACTGTCGGCCGGAAAATAATTCGAACTTTGTAAAGTAATGATTCTATATTTAAACGTGGGACCATTCATGTTTTATCGATCGTTTTCTTATTCGAAAATGAATAGGTTTTTCATTGCTAGAAAAATAACAAGAAAAAAAGCAATTTAAACCAGGAATGTATATTTGGGTTGAAAATTGATAATAACTGGGACGGTACATTTTTGTCATGTTAGTTTCAATTTCATACTTTTATATTGGCTTTATTTTTGCTTGTTGATGCCTCCTTAGTTTTACTGCTGTATTCGTTTAGGCATACGTACAATTTTAACGGATTCACTGGATTCCGCGCTATCAGAATGCCCAAACTTTCTTTGCCTGAAAACACGAGACGTCTATCAATTTGTCGGTTGTGTTTAATTCCGTACAAAATAATGAAAATTAAAATATCACAATCTTGACTTTGCATTTTAGAATTATGCTCGGCCCATCCTGTAGTGCAAGATGTGACGTCACAAGACCAGGCAAGGAGCTCAAGTATATCAGGTAAATAAGCACATGACGCTGCTGATGTTTAATTGTAAAATGTATATATTTTTTTGCACACCTAGTTTGCCACGCTAAACATTTCCCCACCATATTATCAACACACCCAAAAGAAATACTCGCATAAATGGTGAAGAATTCTTTAAAAGAATCCCGGATCCAGACCCACATCCGGATCACTTCCAAAATCTAATCGATTTGTACTTGTACCAGGGGCCACCTTTAAAATAAATTCATGCAAATCCGTCCCTAACTTTTTGAGTTATCTTGCTAACAGACAGACTAACAAACCAACAAACAAAATCCGATGAAAACATAACCTCCTTGGCAGAGGTAACAACTTACAAGACAAGGCAAGCCTAGTACAGCCGTGAGTAGTGGAGGTAGACTGTCTGACACAATTTGACCTTGGGCATAGAAATATGTAAAGGTCACATAAATATGTAAATATGTAGATATAAATATGAATTAAGGGATGTGGAAATTTTAAACACGGTTTGACCTAATGAATGGATGGGATGAATAGGGAATAGGTGTGGGTATAAGGGACCGGGTACAGTTTGAAACTATTCTATGGGAAAGATTGCATAAGGTATGGAAAAATATATATTTTTATGGTACATTTGGATCTTAGCCCGAATATGAGTTTCATACGTTAGTGCAATTAATCCCTGTGAACGAACAGCTGGTCGGATCTTTAATCCCCCAACAATACGCGGGAGAGGGCGCGTGCCAAGTCAGCGCACTAGTATTGTTACGAAGTTAATCCGATCGATACAAAAAGTAATTGGATTTCCGAATGCTCGACAGCAGAAAGCAGCGATAGATGGCAAAAGTGAATTTTGCGTTGATCAGACTGAAACGAGTACGATTGTCTATTTGAAGAATTATTTTAAAGTCATTTTTATTGGGTTTATGGGTATTGTGCACGTTGCGTTTTCCAAGGTATAAACAAACACTCACCGCAGCATACTTGCAGGGTACAACCTGTGTCGGCCATGGGGGTATATGATAAATCCACGATCCATAATCCATGCGTCTGTACGGAGACCGGTGGTCGATCACCCCTCGATGATCGCACCGATCCTGGAGCAAATAAATAACTCCGTCCGTGCGCCTATATTCCTCTTGTTAATCGATACAATACCAATGGCACTCTTCTACACTGCCACCAGAATCATCCAAGTAAAAATATATGTTTGTGCGCGGTGATCGTAGAAAAGGGAAGGTTTTGGCATCAGCCAGAGCAAATGCTAGTATACATGCACACTACTGTATACACGCCGTCCGATCAGATAGCGCTCAAGTTTTCTGGAAAAGAGCAGGATGAGCAGGGAAAAGAGCAGGATGAGCAGGGAAAAGAGCAGGATGAGCAGAGAAAAGAGCAGGATGAGCAGGGTAAAGAGCAGGATGAGCAGGGTAAAGAGCAGGATGAGCAGGGAAAAGAGCAGGATGAGCAGGGAAAAGAGCAGGATGAGCAGGGAAAAGAGCAGGATGAGCAGGGAAAAGAGCAGGATGAGCAGGGTAAAGAGCAGGATGAGCAGGGTAAAGAGCAGGATGAGCAGGGAAAAGAGCAGGATGAGCAGGGAAAAGAGCAGGATGAGCAGGGAAAAGAGCAGGATGAGCAGGTAAAAGAGCAGGATGAGCAGGGAAAAGAGCAGGATGAGCAGGGAAAAGAGCAGGATGAGCAGGGAAAAGAGCAGGATGAGCAGGGAAAAGAGTAGAATGATGTTTTACTGAAAAATGACGTCAATAAAGCAATAATGTCATATCGTATGTACTTTCTGCAGTTGTATTTTTCTTTGTTTGTGTTGTCTTATCAATTGGAAAAGCCTACTCTCAGTCACAAAATTATTGCTTGAACACGCCCTCTAAATAACCCCCGTAAAATGGTCGTAGATAAAACCCAGTCATCCTCGATTTTGTAAACAAATCCGGCACGGAGGTACAACTAGGGTTCGGTGCATTCCTATACAGACAGCGTTAAAGGGGCAGCATTTTTACCACGTTACGACTGAATTTTTAACTATGGATAGGCTATAGCTTGGTTTTGGGGTCGTTCTAGTACGAAATATTACAAAATGCACAATGATGGTTGTGTTATTCCTATACACTTAATCGGGCACTTTCCAGGCCGTAGTTCCCTTGAAAACCACATACCCGCACGTTTTGTTATGGCTTTAAACCACTGAATCCATTCCTTATTGTACGCGCCTCTGCAGACTATAGAGCCTAATCGATAATTTAGCCGTCACGGATTAAAGGGAATATACAACATTTGCAAACATCGAAAAATAAAACTACCAAGTTTTTGCGAAATACCTTAATAGGATGTTGGTAAATGACAGTCTAAAGCATCCTGTAAAATTATGGCACATGGTATACTGTCATTTTCAAGAAAAGTGGTATTTTTGTATCAATTTCCAACGCTGATCGGCCGATCAGCGTTGGAAACAACTGGCTTTTTTTTCAAATACTGGCCCCAATTGACCATTGCACTTGTTTGCAATCGATTACAAACCTATGAACGGGTACGAGCCAGCTAGACTGATTCCCTGACCTTACAATTCCCCAATGTATGTAAACTGCTCTGTTTCTTCTTATATGGAGTCAGGGAACCAGACTACAGGAAAATATCGTTTTTCTTGGTTTTTATAGCATTTTCGAACCCAAAACCTCCAAAAAGTCAGTGTAACTATCTTTGCTTTATATTTCCAACCCCCCAATTCCATCCATTTCTGAAAATCACAGCAAAAGCAAATGATGTATATTCCCTTTAAGAAAACTTGAGCGCTATCTGATCGGACGGCGTGTATACAGTAGTGTGCATGTATACTAGCATTTGCTCTGGCTGATGCCAAAACCTTCCCTTTTCTACGATCACCGCGCACAAACATATATTTTTACTTGGATGATTCTGGTGGCAGTGTAGAAGAGTGCCATTGGTATTGTATCGATTAACAAGAGGAATATAGGCGCACGGACGGAGTTATTTATTTGCTCCAGGATCGGTGCGATCATCGAGGGGTGATCGACCACCGGTCTCCGTACAGACGCATGGATTATGGATCGTGGATTTATCATATACCCCCATGGCCGACACAGGTTGTACCCTGCAAGTATGCTGCGGTGAGTGTTTGTTTATACCTTGGAAAACGCAACGTGCACAATACCCATAAACCCAATAAAAATGACTTTAAAATAATTCTTCAAATAGACAATCGTACTCGTTTCAGTCTGATCAACGCACAATTCACTTTTGCCATCTATCGCTGCTTTCTGCTGTCGAGCATTCGGAAATCCAATTACTTTTTGTATCGATCGGATTAACTTCGTAACAATACTAGTGCGCTGACTTGGCACGCGCCCTCTCCCGCGTATTGTTGGGGGATTAAAGATCCGACCAGCTGTTCGTTCACAGGGATTAATTGCACTAACGTATGAAACTCATATTCGGGCTAAGATCCAAATGTACCATAAAAATATATATTTTTCCATACCTTATGCAATCTTTCCCATAGAATAGTTTCAAACTGTACCCGGTCCCTTATACCCACACCTATTCCCTATTCATCCCATCCATTCATTAGGTCAAACCGTGTTTAAAATTTCCACATCCCTTAATTCATATTTATATCTACATATTTCCATATTTACATATTTATGTGACCTTCACATATTTCTATGCCCAAGGTCAAATTGTGTCAGACAGTCTACCTCCACTACTGCCGTGTGGTTGCGAAGGCCGATTTCTGAAGGTTACATAATGCTATATTTTGAATGAAACAACATGCACACAGACATGTGGATGTTCGCCGGCGAAATGTTTGAAAATCTTTAGAAGGCCGTATCTTCATGTAACTTTCAAGGTTTGTGTCCCTTATAATTAATATCCCAACTATGTGCTCAAAATCGTTTTTGATCTGTTCTGTATTTTTTTGTTGGGATTGGAAAAAAATATTTATTTTTTTCCAAAGCTGTAACACTGGTGTTTGCAATATCTGTCAACCTTTTAATGCATCACGCATGATAAGGTTCCTCCTATCCATTATGGTGTGCAGTACAAATTTTCAGTATCGCCTCCTTCACGAGTTATTAATTAATGAATATCACCCTTTTTGTCGGCTTCAATTGGTCGATACCAAGACCCATGCCGAGTCACGCCGAGTTACGCTAAGTAATATGGGCTTCGTCATTGTTGGCCCAAAATCGGCCAACCCGAAAACCATGCACGTAAGTTTCGTCGGAAAAAAATCCTCGTGGAAATTTACCTTGGAGATAGTTCAAGGTGTTACACGAACGTTTGCAATAACAGATTAAGTTGAAATTTGGAATATACTTCAAAGATATTTCGACAGTGTTCAACTACTCTTGAAATAACAACTGATGGGGATTCCTATAAATTGAGATAAATAGATAGATTTGGGGACCTTTTAGAACGATTTTTCGAAGACATTTAGGTCACATTCACCAGTGTTTCGGCATCAATAACGGCGATTTTTTTTTCACTGACACGATATTTGTAATTTCTTCTTCTGTTGTAAAATAACATTTCAATCATACTGAGCATTATTTCTAAAAAACATAACATTCAAAAAGCCATGTTTTTTTTGGCTGCATGAATTTCACTGCTCTGGTGGTAGTGTTTATGTACGTAATCGGATTAACGTTGTTTAACAATGATTACACTTAAGCCTTCGCAATCACAAAGCTGTAGTAAAGGTAAGCCCAGAATGCATAACATTCTGGTTAATCGAGTCAGAATGGCTATACACCGGGCGTCTTTTCATGCATGTGACGTTCGCAGCAATGGGCCGGATTTAGAACATTCCTTGACGTTACACGGTGTAATCCTATTTCAACATTATTTTATGGCCAAAGTGATACTTAAGCAAGTCTACTTCAAGAGTGACAGTCGGTCGGTCGGTCGGTCCGTCAGTTCGTCAGTCAGTCAGTCAGTCAGATCAAAAGAGGGCTGGGCCTATAGCCTGACCCCTCAAGGACCAGCACCAACTTTAACACACACATCTTACTAATAGCAACTTTGTCGCTTGCAAAGCACTTAATGGGGGTGTTGTTTGTTCCGGTGTTTTCAGCTATTAAAACGGGTGCTATTATAATGAAATACCTCGATTGACTGGAAACTTTTTAGAATAATCCTTCATTCCTTCATCGCCGAAGGTAATTGTCACCACTGCTCGTTTGACATTCTCTTACATCCCATTACACTCTAAGAGCCAATGTAATGGAAAATTTGACTGCAATCCCTAAAAATGCACCTTTGTGTCCCATTTAACTTTATTTTCAACTTTCATAGTTTATTGCTATTTGCAAGTTTTTTTTTAATGCTATGCGCATTTCCACAATAAGCGAAACTGTGATGCCATTTAAGGCAGAAACTTGGATGTTAAAACTGCCTCAGCAAGAAAAAATGCCAGATTGTTTGTTTTTTCTTGGCTGTAATAAATATTTTAAATATTAATTCAATGAGCAAAATTTGTGGGTTCGTAATTTTTACGCAACACCCTAAGTGCACGTTACACACGTTTTAAACTAAACTTTTTATTCACTTAGGTTTTCTTGCAGTTCAGAGAAAGTTGCTCAAAATGAATGTTTTAATTACATGCAATGGTCCCTTAAAAAATCGCCCAAACAATTTTCATTGTCAAGCAAAATAGGAATGAAAGAAACGATACCTTGTATCCGATATATATCATTTCAGGTCTTTCGTGTACGAGTTCTCCACTGGGGATGGCCAGTGGGGCCATCCCTGATTCCAGCCTGACGGCGTCAGACTCATTCGGCCCGGGTAATCGCCCAAGCCAGGCCCGACTGAATGGTAAGTCTCATTGATTGCTACTCTCATTGCAATAGTCAGCAACTGTTGCTTACTTTGTGTTTTTGCCCTTTTTGTGAGTTAACACATAGGAATTGTATAAGCCCGACTCTAAAAACAACTAGAAACATTGCAAAAAAATACTAATTAACGATGCATTTCGAATGTTAATTATGGATTCCATTCTTGGTCAATATGACCAGCCCCTTTCTTTCTCAAGGCTTTAGGCTCATTTGCTTTTCATGCATTGTTCGTTTCCAATAATAAAACCTCTCAAATTTTAAAGATGAATGTTTAAACGTTAAACCTAACCATGCACTACCTTTTGACCACGAAACACGATTTCGCCCATGGTACTCTGTGTTAAATAAAAAAGGCAATTGACTGATCGTTGGAAATCACCACCATTTCTTGATTTCTTCGCAATGGCAGCAAGCCAAACAAAATAACATTACGGGGTGGTTATCACCCTACGATCTTTAATCCAAAAAAGTTAATAATCATTCGGTTGGTTATTTCTGAGATACATGCAAATGATCCTACCCGTCTTTAACCCAAAAATGTCGTTTTGTCTAAGTTTCTCAATATAAAAATAGGTCAGCCCCCCCAAAAAAAACTCCATGGATTCCGGATAATCTCCGCAAGACAGCTTACTTTTCTCAGTATTTTATTTGAACTCTTGCTTGCACCCTGTACTCCTGGAGGGTTTAAATAGTCTGAAACTGTTCTTGAAATTGAAAGAAAGATGCATGGCGTGATTCTGTGTGAGCACACCACGCTGCATGCATATGACAATTTCCCGTTATATGAAAGCAGCAATACTCATGCTACAGTCAGACCGCGTATCTCCTGTATTCAAGTGCTTATGCAATCCAACAATTTATTGCGCACTTTTTTGGCCAGGGGTGGGTGATAAGGCTATCCCCAGAATAGTCCATGCATTCACCATAAACTTGACCAAATAGAAGCCGATTCTATGTATCACTCTGTCCGTGCTACGATTTAATTGTCATTGCATTAGCTTGTTTTGTAACATTAGTGTTCTCATGTTCTAGCTGGGTACAAAACAAAAAATCGTCACTAGTTTACTGTCATTAGGCCTACAACAAAATCAACATCACTAACTCAAGTCTCTAGCGCGATTTCCTGTCACTGATCCTTTAGGCTCCGCAACAACGAAAAAGTTACGAAAATTGTGATTACAAACGACCTTCAAATGACAATAATACAAATTTGGTATTTGAAGCTGCGTCAGTACACAGGTCATGCCTGTTGCAAGTCATTTCTGTTCGGGGATGAGTAATCTTTGTTTATTCTGTGGGATCTCAAGTGTGAATTGATACATGTTAAGTAATGACAAACCCTTGATTCCACAAACATTTAATTTAGAATAAACTTAAATTTCACATTGTGTCGTCAACTTCCTGGTTGTCTTCTTGGCAGCCGCATTGTTCATGCTCACACAACAATTTGACTGTTCGTATTGACCAACTCATTCCACATAGTCCTCCGTCCCTGATGATGCATTCCCAGGCCCGTCTATGCATAAATGTGCCACTGCGTGCCTAATAAGTTTGGCGTGTCTCTGCTTCGATGCGCATTCAGACGATGAAAATTTGCTGCAAGGACAGGAACGACCCGATTATTTATCATATCGAAGTAAATGTTAGTTTGTATGTTTTTAATCCTCAATGAAAAAAGGGGCCAATCGTGAGAACATGACGTCAAATTCCTAAGCGAACAGAGAGTTAAGTGCGACTGTCGTTCCTTTCACAATTAACGGTTGTGTATTTCGTCGGTTGTGGAGAATATTGTCTTACGTTCTAGAAAATCCTGCCTCGCCGCTAATTATGAAGCGTTCAAGAATCGTGTTGGCCTTGCGAGCAGCCTCTGGCAAAACCTCATTCTCCTCATTTAACATCTAACAACTGACACTGCACTCTAAAATCTAAAGTGTTAAATTCACCTTTATAAATGATAAGTTTAACACTTGCTATATGTGTGCGGTCAGTGACCACACTTTAAAAGTTGATTCAACACTTTCCAAAGTGTTACGAATTCCCACACTTTTAGACAGTTACAAAAGTGTCGATGCCTTTTGCGACTCTTTTCCAAGTGTTAAAAAAGTGTTGGGATCCAGCACTTTAAAAATGTTAGAAAAGTGTTGGATCTGACCCTTTTAAAATGTTATAACAACCATTCAGTTACCTCTTTACCCATTGACAAGTGTTAAGAAAGTGTTGATATACAACCCTTTGAAACTGTTGAGACAACTATTTGGTACCCTTTAAATGTGTTACTTTGAGCTATTGTAATGTCAAAAAACCCTTCCTTCAAATGCACGCAAAAAGACCAATAAATACAGAGTATGTCATTGATAGTAAGGGCTCCAATATGGCGTTGCGTTCTTCATAACTTTTCGTCCTTCCTCGACCAACATCGCCGTCCATCCCGATATAACCAGTTGAGTAAAGGTGAGATTTTTTTTACTGAGATATTAACGTAGGAACACTGCACATTCTTATGTTAATAATACTGCCTTTATATCGTACGAAACTGCCAGATAATTTTAGACCCTTTAACAGATGAGTGTCGCTATACATGTTCGTACGTTCATACGTGCATTCAGGGGCGTCAATCGCTTCTCAAAAGTGAGGGGTGGGGACATACCTTGATCAGAAATAATGCGAGTGTGAAGCGCGAAGCCCTTACAGCGTGGGTTCAGGGCTTGCGAAAAAAAATCAGATTCTAGATGCTCATGTGGTGTGATCTGAGGCAATTTCTGACCTCTTAAACCAATATTTCCTGAGCAAAAGGTATTGATTTAAACATCATTTTCGAGGTTGAAGTCATTGAATAAGCTATTATATTCTCAGCTAAAGGCGTGGGGTTCGGGGGCCTGCTTAAGGGCCCCGAAACAAAATTGATTCTAGATGCTCTGTGGTGCGATCTGAGACAATTTCTGACCACTTTAACTAATATATTTTCCCAGCAAAAGAAAATAATTAAAAAATAATTTTCGAGGTTAAAGTAATTGAATAAGCTATTATCTTCTAAGCTAAAGGCGTGGGGTTCGGGGCCTGCTAATTAAGGGCCCCGAAAAAATGTTGGATTCTAAATGCTCTGTGGTGCGATCTGAGGCAATTTTGGACCACTTGAACCAATATTTTCTTAGCAAAAGATACTTTGTAGTACATAATAGGGCCCTGTTAATGTGGCACGAGTTCAAAAATCTGGGGGGGGGGGACATTTGATATTGTGTGTCCCCCCCACCCTTCAAAAAGTTGGGGGGGGGGGACATGTCCCCCTGTCCCCCAGGGTTGACGCCCATGCGTGCATTTGATTTGCGTGATGTATCGATACACTGTCCTCATATGGAAAAACATGCACACATAACTGCGTTTGTAAAGATTAAAGATTGGTCACACTTCTGTCGAATGTAAGATACGTACTTCAACATTATCGATACATCACGCAAATCAAATGGACGTATGTACGTATATGTACAATGTATAGCGACACCCATCTGTTAGAACTAAGGTCTAAAAATATCCGTCAATTTGGTACGATATATAAGTAGTATTAACATCAAAGTGTGCAGTGTTCCTGCGATAATATCTCAGTATAAAAAATCTCACCTATAATCAACTGGTTATATCATCATTGTCGGCGATGTTGGTCGATGTAGGACAAAAGTTTATGAAGAAAGCAACGCCATATTGGAGCTCGGTCGGAAATGATCTAGTGCGCTTGCGCGGCGCGCTGAACTCACTATCCAATCAAATTGCCCAGTCGCCTAATACATTACTGCGCAGGCGTATATGCAGGAAAGCTCACAACACATTTAAAATGCGAAGTCACATCTTGAAGTTGCTTAACTTTAGCATTAGAGTTGGAATAACCTTTTGCAACATTTGAAATATTGTTTTGGTAGTAACACTTCGGAAATGTTAAAATTCAACACTTCAGTTTTTAGAGTGTGGGGGTCTGGGTCCCTCGGGATAAACAAAGAGTTATACTCAGTCCTCCAGAACAGGAATGACTTCAACTTCAAACCAATTTACAGGCGCAAATTCCAATACAAAATATGTATTATTGCAGGCGCAGGTCCAGAGCCAATATTTTCGGGGGCTAGCAAAGTGGATCCAGATTTTTTTTTCAGGGAGGCGTGCTAAATTATAAAACCGGCTATTTTCTCCAGACACTTAAGCCTCCGAAAATCAATAGGTGTGTGTGTGGGGAGGGGGGAGGGGGAGGGGGAGCTTGGGTTGGGCCATTTTTTCAATGGGGAGCGCTGATAAAATGCTACAATCAGGCACACTATATTGTACAAACCCTTCTCACGACTATTTATTTGGGGGGAGACCGTTCGCATGTACGTCACATTCGTACATTTTGCTAGTGCAATTTTGTTTTTTATGATTTTTTTTTTGTTTGCCGGGGGGGGGGGGGCTAAACAACATTCGGGGGGGGGGGGGTTCACCCACCTAGCCCCCCCCCCCCGAACCACCACTGTATTATTGTCATAATCATTCCGTAACGGTTGTACTTTCCTTAAGGAAACCCTGTAGTATTTGGTTCTATATTATTTTGAATGCCATGGTATTTTGTTTGTTTTATTCCCCACAGGTACTGGTTGGTGGGCATGCCCGCGTGGAAAGCCCGAGGGTCAATGGATCCAGGTAGACCTCGGTCAGTACACGGCCATCACGGGGCTCATCGTGCAGGGAGGCAAAACGCATCATATCCGAACCTTTGCTGTAAACTACAGTAACACGGGCGAGTCCAATGATTGGCAGAAACTAACTGACAGAGGACAGACCGTACAGGTGAGCCTAGGATCCCGTCAGGATTTACGTTTACATTTACAAGTTTTCACATTCCATATCGATAAATCTGTATTGTGAAATTATTATTATTAACGCATTAGTTTTGCGAACTAACCCAAAATTTATACTATAGGTTTTCCCGGTTATTTTAAAACGTTTTTTTTTTTTTCATTCGATTTCACCGTTTCCAATGTTCAATTCGTCCATCAACATCGATTTGGTGCACTTTCAATGTTTAATTTCATCTTTCGTCAGACAATTTCAACTTCAGTTCAAGCAAATTCAAACAATGAGCACACGTTTTCGTCCCGGAATACATGTATTCGATGTCACCTCGTTTGCGCCAAACCCTGTTATTCAGAAATCAAATTCGTGTAATTGATTTTTATTCGACGAATACGATCTCTGAATCTGCAATTCAGCAACAGCTTAGACGAATTAGAATTTGACCTGAAATGACGAATATTCTCAACCCGGTGACTAATGACGGTGACCAAACTTTTAAATTGAGTGGTAAATGACAAAACTAGTGAAATTGTTGTCGGACGAAATTGAATATTGGAGTTGGTGAATTTGAATGAAAAATGTTTTTAAATTGGCGGGAAAACTAATAATAATTAGCGCAGTACGATTGTAACATAGCGCAATACTCTTGCAAAAAAAAGTGTTGGTTAGTTCGTAAAGCTATTGCGTTAATTTGCAAAAGTTTTATTGCGTTAAAAGTATCGCCAAAAAAAATTAGGCCTTTATCGCAAAAGCTTGCGTTACATGTAACTTGCAATATTGCGTTATTTCATAACGTTTTACATTGTGTTAAATTGCAAAGGTATACGTTAACTTCAATTAGAACAAATTCTGTGAAAGCGGAAGCTATAATTGGGTTCATGGGAGTTGCGAGGGGGTCAAGGGGGCGCTTCCCCTTCTCCCGGAAAAGCAAAAAAGCAAAGCAAAACAAAAGACAAAAAAGAAAGGAAAAGAGGCGCGAAGTCATATTGCTGTTAATTTAATAGGTTGGGGGGAGGGGGACAGTGTCCCTGTCTACTCTAGACAAATGATAATCGAGAATATGCTGGAAAAGTACAGTGGTTTCGGGTGGGGTGAGGAATTGCGCCTTGACCCCAATCTATACAATGATTGGGTGTCCGTATAGTGGTTGGATGATAACATTTTGTTTTAAAATAAAACTAAAGTCTGAGTTGCACTTCCATTGACTTCATCTTGGGTTGCCATTTAGTCTCAAGCACCGACTACGATTTCTTGTCAACATAAGGTGGGGTGGGGGAGTGGGGGGAGGCAAGCAGCATGGACATTCGGAAAGCTGGCGGGGGGGGGGGGGGACGACGCCTCCTGACTCCTGGGGGTTGCTTTTCAAACATGTACGCATGCACGAATTCCGTTTTACGCCAATTCCTTTCAGTGTGTTTTGGAGACATGTGATCCCTCTCCCGGCCCGCCAGCATTTTTTTCATACCACTAGTTCGCTATTTGTTACTGAAGTGCTTTGAGTGGCAAGTCAGGTTTTCTGACTTTATTTTTCCTCGAAAAAAAATCCTCCAAACCATAAATTGGTAAAAGACGAATTTTCCAAATAACTAACAAGCTGCTATCCATGTAGCATTCTAGTTTTACCACACCACTCGAGCAGTCAATATTTGTATACTCGATCCTAGTATGGACCATAGTAAATCCGCCAGAGGGTGTGTCACTTGTCAGGCCGTAGTGGCTTGCTCAAAATTGGCGGGAAAAGTACTGGGCTTGCGCACATTTCCGTAGGCTTGTGCCGGTACAATTGTCCCTGATGACACGAATTGCCATGGATTGCTCCTGCTGACAAAATAGAACAGTCTTTTGATCTCCAACCGGCAAATATGTGGTTCAATGTCTGTTTTTGGTCTGAAGCATGCCATGAATGATAGATTATGGGGGTTGGAGGGCAGGGTGGCTCAAATTATTTTACATAGTGGAAGGAAACTATTCTACCCAACGGTCAGGTATGTATAGAATTAAACCGACTCCCCGAAGGGAAACAATATTATATTATTGCATGTATAGCGCCCTCTAGTCTTGGCCCAAGACGTCAGTGATCATGAGCAATAGTTGCGTAATTGTTGTGTAGCGCACTTGCATAATTGTTATTTTTTTTCCCTTCTCCTACCAACGTGTTGGTCATTTCGTAGCAATGGGGGCCATTTTATGTAAATAAGACCGTCTGTATAAATTCAAGCAAACCTGTTTATAGCTCCGTGCATGATCGCCGCAGTATCTCGATCGTTGATTGTTTCCCTAGGAAAGCGCTGATGGAAAAATAAATCGCGGCCCGCCAATGAAATCCTCTTTTCTAAAGAGGAGCCGACAATATCGAGAGAGAGCGCTCTCTCTGCGTTATGCTTAATTCATAGATGTCGACTGGGCTTTAAATAAAACAAAAATAAAACGGCATGTGGGTGTTTTAATCACCGACGGTTGGCAGATTCGTGGACTGGTTGGAAGAAGTCCTGACTTCTAATCAGGTACGTGTTCTGAGTGCGAATCCCGGTAATGGCGTTTTACGCTTCTCATTAATCTATCAACTAACAAATGAGGAAGATACATTTCTTACAAGACGTAAGCTAAGTTGGGTTGCTGTTGTCGGAGACATGGGCGTCGCAAAAGGGGGGGGGCTTCCCCCCCCCCACCCCCACCCCCACACCTGGAAAAGCAAAAAAAAAAAGAAGAAGAAGAAAAAAAGAAGAGGGGAAAAAAGAAAAGAAAAAGGGGCGCGAAGTCATAGTCGTGTAAATTTAATGAGTTGGGAGGGGGGTCAAAATGTCCCTGCCCCCCTCTAACACTGATAAATCGAGAATTTGTTGAGAAATACAAGAATTTTTTGGGAAAAATATGTTTTGCCCCCTCTCCTTGGTCGGAGAACAAGACATTAAATATGTAGTGAATGGTACATCCGAACCATTTATGGACGCTTATGTACTCAAGGTCAAGACATTTCTTTCTTTCTTTTTTGAACTTCACGCGTACATCTCAGACTTGGAAACGGAAGTGACATAAGAATAATGGAAATCTGAAAATAATTTCTAGAGCGAAACTTGTATCAAGCGACGATCGTCAATACTTTGTCAAACGCCACTCTGAATTAGATCCTCGTTTCCCGGAGGCGTTTACAGGCATGTTATGACTTTCATGTTAAAAAGAGATAGCGTACCTAAATATGTTTAGCATCTCCTTAAATTGACGCGGCTCTAAAAATAGCACAGACGCTCGACGTAATACGAATATTTGAATTACGTACCACATGTTTTTTGGTGGTAATCATGTAAATCGTTATTTTTTTTTTACAGTTGAATGGGCATAATGGTAGTGGACATTCTGTGCCTGTGACGTTCCCCGTGGTACTGATGGCAAGATTCCTCCGCATACTTCCACTGACATGGAGTAGCTCTGCTTACTATATTCTAAGGTTCGAAGTGCTCGGATGTCAAGGTGATAAAAATATGCCCATCTAAAAATCTAAGTCACCGTCATAAATAAAAAGGCAATAATACCACTTGTCATTTGGCGTAAATTTTATAAATAAATGGTTAGATTTATAGGTCTAAGCTCATTCCAACGCTGTAAGAACCAATTGCGAGCACTAACTTGAGATTCGTGTTTGGATGAACCATGATAAGAACCCGGGGAATTTGTATTAATACAAGTCATATTTTAATTATGTTGAACTCATATTGGTGTAACAGTGATTCCGATGCAGGCCGAATGATCATGTTAGTATCTGACTGTTTTAATTTACTTTAGGTCTAAACTACAAAAAGGGCGGTGTAAATTGAACACCGGGGGTCCTACAAAGATACCACCGGTGTTAAATCAAACGCCACTGTTTTTACAGAGTCGGTTGCTTTGACCCTCATAAAACCTGTGTCAGTATCCAGGTCATGGAAGTTGGAGGGTTGGGAGTTGGGATGATGGTATTGTCGGCTGATATCACTTGTTGGGCGTGTTTATTCGTTTCTTTCCTGATTGATGACTCGTGTTGGTCCAGCTCTGTTGCATTCTGACAATGCCCAGTACAAATCATATGAAACGATGGGTTTGGATCACAAATTGGATAATGACCTTCGTATTACAAATTGAGTGGGGGATCCCTAGATGCATGTAGACAAAGACAAAGAATGATCATTATTGTCAGACAACAGCCATCATTGGAAGGGGGGATACGTGTGTTTAGGCGATTTGACATTTGAGCCATGAAACGGCACCTCGCGATAGGAAAAGAAGCTAAAGTTATGTGCACAACAGCATCTTATACCTTTTAGATTTTAGTTTGAAAACGATTTTTACATTATTGTACTGATCTGATGTACCACAAATATCTTATTAAGAAGAGACCCCTCTTGCCACAAGACTCGTTATCGAACGTTACGTCTTCTTCTTCCAACATCGGCTCAGCGTACGTGTTATCTAAATTTACGTTTGAACTGATCTAAATTTACATTTGAAATGGTCTTAATTTATGTTTGAACTCTTAACAGACTTAAGCGGCATAATCCGATTAGTGGGTAGTGATGACAAATGGAGCGGCCAAGTGGAAATCTACCGCCATGATGCTTGGGGTGCAGTGTGCGATAGCACTTGGGATATGAAGGACGCCACCACCGTTTGCTATCAGCTCGGCTCCATCGGGGCTCTGGAGGCTAAAACGGGGTTGTCCAGCCAAGAGAGTGACCGGCCAATCGTGATGAATCGAGTCGCCTGTACTGGAACTGAACGACGGCTGGCTGACTGTCCGTTTGTCTGTACCGGCTCTCAGCAATGCAACAGCTCAACTGTAGCAGGAGTCGTTTGTAAACCAAGATCTGGTAAGAAATACTCCGCCCTCTTTAGTTTCCATGTCATTCACCTCCAACTTATTGCACACTAAGTAACTCACGTGTCATTATCATCTATCTCCAGTGTATTTGTGATATGGCACCGTTCGCCGATATACAATTAAAGTCAATTAAATACCAGTACTCATCCCCGAAATACATACTTCAAACAAAAGCCCTTCCCAAAAAAGTGAAGAAATTAACTGAGCAAAGAAATCTCTGAACTCCAATAAAACATCTGAAAGAATTGTGTTCATTTACACCCCCACTATATAGCTTTTCCCGACAAAGCATAGGAATCGCCTCCCAATGCTGATTTAGTGATTATTTGGACCATAGATTAAATGGCCACCTTGAGTTGCTCAGTATAGCGTACGATTAACTCTTTTCACAAATAGAGTTGTGAGGGTGGGTTACCTATCTGTCCTTTCTTCATTACGCCACTCCACGACGGATGAAGGTGGCACTGTGACTCGTCATGTTTTTTTATTTGTTTATTTAACTGAACAATGAAATTGACTGGAGCGGAGTTTGAACATGCGACCTCCGGGTTGCCGTTCCTGTGCTCTACCAACTGAGCTATCCAGCCCTATGTTGGCAGTTCTCCATTTTGTCATTTATTTGGTCAGGGGCGCTGTAGCCAGAAGCCATCGCCAAATGTCACGATACTAGCAACATTAGCAATTCTGCAAACCTAGTCAGCTTCGGCCTTTGTGGTTTATTCAAATATTTTTCTCTTAAATAAAGACAACCGTCTTATTATGATCAGATGTGGTTCGGTTGGTCGGCGGATCTCGCACCAGCGGCCGAGTGGAGATATACCGTGGCGGCAGCTGGGGCACCATCTGTGATACAAATTGGAACGTCACCGATGCGGGGATTGTCTGCCGACAGCTCGGTTTCTCAGACGCACTGGAGGCCAAGTCCGCTGCCCACTTCGGGCAGGGTAGCGGACCCGTCCATATGGACGGCGTAGCGTGCGAAGGATCCGAAGAGAAAATTACCGACTGCCCTTCCTTCTGCTGGGAGGACACAAAGTGTAGCCACTCTCACGATGCTGGAGTGATCTGTAGTGATGGTAAGCGAACAATGAGGGCAGTGTAACGAAACCTATCATCATAGAACTCCGCGTATCTATACTACAATCACGAAAATGATTGGAGGGCGCTGCCATTTTCCTGCCATTTTCCCGACCGGTCTCCCGTCCCGCACGCGCCCGTTGGCCGCGGGGGATGCGGAACGGGGCCCGGCTATTTCCACCCTATATTTCCCATAATTCCCTTCCCCATTGGGCCGCGCCGGCCATCTTGCGTATGGCCACGTACGTTCGTTATGAGAGCATGCAGCGTATGGGCCGGATAATTGACGTGCCACGTATACGTTCGTTATGAGCATGCAGCGCATGCAACTTGCCCCACATTTCTTCAGCACAGCGTTGTTGACATGGTTGATGTATCTGTTCCTTGCTCCAGTTTTCTCATTGAACGGTAAGTCTCATTTATGATATATATTGTTGTTTGTGAAAAGTGGTATTCTTTCGAACGCCACTGGCAATGAGAAGCATTGTTGTTTGTGAAAAGTGTGAGTTTGTGAGTGTCCAATGATGGCGTAGTCTGGTGGTAGAATGGGGAGGGTTGTACGGGGAGGGTTGTATGAATGTACGTACGGGGGGAGGCCTCGGACATCGAGAGTTTGGCCGTGGGTTTACTTAGCTAGGCTTAATGTGGCCAATTTACTGCATGACCTCCGTAAATACAGGCCTCACTTGGAACATGTACCCGAACATGTTTGTAGAACTTTGCCAACTTTTGATTTCACAATTGGGCTTTGTTTGTAGTTTGTTTTTGGATTTTGCTTTAGTTTGTTTTAGGCCTAGGCCTATAGGCCTACTAGCTAGAAAAAAAATGCTGCATTTGTATATAGGCCATGAAATGTACATTCATTCCATACAAATGATGCAAATTAAATCTTTGTGGTAATCTTAGAACACGGCAAATCATACTCAAAACTTCCTTTAAAGAAATGACTTTCATACTCATACTCAAAACAAAATTAATTTACTGCAAATCAAAGACCAATAACCAACTTAATAAAGAAACCCTCAAATCAAAATTAAAGACGTGATCAAGTTCAAACCTCAGGCCAAAAACCAAAAAATACAGGCGAAGACTAAAACTTGAAACCAACACAGTTAGAATAGTGGATCTTAGAGAATACACTCTGGCAGAAAATCAAATGACTCGACAACAGACATGAACCCAAGCAGGATAAAGAGGAAACTAATACATTGATGACTGTTCAGTGTCTCTGCTGTTCTGCTGAGATAAAATCATATGCGGGGGGGGGGGGGGGGGGGGTCACTAAAATACAACATATAAGACATGTTTCGTTGTTTGGCATGTTTGGTTAGTACTTCAGTAGTGCATTCCGCATAAAGGGGGTATTGCAACACCTGTCTAATTTATTTGTAGCTATTGTTAGCCGATGTATTTGTTTTACAAGTTTTCTTCACCTTAGTCGTTATTCTTTTCTTTCTAACTCCTTTACACAGGACTCCCGATGACACCCACATCACATGACCAGCTCCAACCATGCTCCAAGCATGCTCCAGTGCATGCTTCAACCAGTTCCCAAAGCAAGAATCTCAACTCAAGACGAAGACGTGACACACCTATTCTTTCCAGTTCAACTGCAAGATTCCTGCTTTTTCTCTTTACCCATTCAAAACACATTTTCCTTCTAGCCATAATTTTATTTTTAGAAGTCATGAAAAAAATCACTCTTTTCTGCTGTTTTATGTCCATCCTTTTTTTAAAATTATATCCTTGGCTTAGTTGTACCCATGAATAATGATGGAATGATTACCCGATAATTACTGGCCAAGCAGACTGTGTCGATCCTGGCAAACTTATTTGATAACAAAACAATGTCTTTGATTACCAAATTACATAATCACTCTTAAAATTTCACAACGAAATATTCATACTCGCATACCCCTCCATTTCTCATGAGTTTTCACCAACACTCATTAAAAAAATGTTGTCCTGTAACTTACAATGCCACTGTCATTATTTATGATTACAGCTTTTAACACAAAAAACTGCATTTGCATAATAACCTTTGGCCGTCTTGCTTGAAAGTCTTTCATGGAATGTTTGTGCCTATGGTTAACAAGCCTGGACCGACGTCCCTTGCGAAAATTGCTCCGAAAACTGACTACAATTATATCCCCTGAGTTTTGTCGAAGTACTACCCTGTACAGTAATGAATGCAAATACATTATTACTAAAAAAAATTCGTGTATACCTGATTTCATTTTCACAGTTTTGTAATAAATACATTTAACATGTGATGCTTGACATAATTATGAAGTGCTCCAATATGTCCTTTCTTTTAGTTTTACTCTCTTCTGCAAATAAACGTGTTACAATACTTTGCTGTACAACCCCATCACCATAATAAAAACACCAACTGCTATAATGACATTAACTTCTACTTTAATAAGAAACACCCCCTTCACCTTAACAAATATAAATTGTTGCCCACTTCCCCGGAAATATAAGTGACCATTCACAGGTGTAACATAAATAGGCATGGGCGTCGCGAAGGGGTGGGGGGGCACTCCATAAAAGCAAAAAAAAAAGGGGGGCGTGAAGTCATAGTGGTGTGAATTTAATGGGTTGGGGGGGGGCAAAATGTCCCTGCCCCCCTCTGAAACTGATAAATCGAGAATGTGTTGAGAAAAACAGGCATTTTTTGGGCAAAAATATGTTTTGCCCCCTCTAGAAAAAATCCTGGCGACGCCCACACAATATTCAACCCCCACCCCCACTGGCTGCCCCCTTCTCTCTTCTGTAGTGAGAACGATGGATACGACGTTGTATAGGCCAAGATCAAACCGCGTTTCATCTAAATTACCTATTTGTACAGTTGGTGTATACGTCCTTAATGGTTTGGCACCTTGAAAATTCAATATTCAAATTGACTGGACAATATTCTAGCACAACATTATTTATGAGCTTTATATAATGAGACATCGCATGAGACAATCGGTCGGCAATAAATACTTAATTTCATTCAACTGTTGACAGCAAGACCTTCCTAATTGGCGCGCAATTTAAAACAACATTTAAACGGTATGAATCCCAGCACAAACATAAACCCCCACAATATCAACAATTTCAATGTCACCATCTCCCCTCTATAACAAAAACCATTTCTCCCCATCCCTGAAAATATTTCTCCCCATCCCCGGAAATATTGGTGACACGGTTGACGGGTTTTACGGAAATTGGGCGTTCCAACTAGCACCCTTCACCCTAGCTAGCCCCTTCCCCTATATTGACAACAAGCTGGTTTACCCGATCATAGATCGGGTAGGGCGTAGTGTTGGGGATGAAATTGTGGGGAGTTAAATGTAAATGGGGGATATAGTCGGGGAGACATGCAGTTAAAGAATAGCAATTTCTGTGGTGTGATCTGAGGCAATTTCTGATCACTAAAACCAATTTGAGCAAAAGATCATCTGTGAAAGTTTTGAGTAATTGAATCAGCTACATGTATTCTGAGCAATAGAATCATTATTGTAGGCTACAATATTTTTATTCGGGGAAGAAAAAGTGTGTGGGGGGGGGGGGAAGACCAAACAATGTCCCCCCCTCAAAATGTGTGTGTGTGTGTGGGGGGGGGGGGGTCCCCCTGTCCCCCGTCGATTTACGCACATGATAATTATGTACCGTGGCAACTGTCTGTAAATGTTGCCGTTGTTCTGTTAAATTGGCTTTTTGTGAGGCAGAATTTGGAAAACGTAGTGAAGAGGTTACTGTAGTACACAGGCGAAGGCTGGTTTAAATCATAATGCAATAAAACGTGAAGGTGTCATTTGAAATGAAAATGTTGAGTGTTACCATAAAATTACAAACGGTCTGAATCATGAAGGAAGGTCATAATTAAGTTTCAGTATTGGACTCTTCAACAAAAGTAAATTTAAACTTCTAACAATTTGCGAGACCGTCTGCGAGGAAAAAGTCGGTAACTTTTATTAAAGTTGGTACAACCATCTATATAAGAGCAAGTTTTACTCGGCCGCCGAGAAATGTTTGCTCCTGAAAGGATCCGAGACCGCGGCTTCACGTCCGTGGAAAAATATGGGTGTCTTCCGTCGGGTCGGACACTTTTTCGTCGATTTTTTTGTGACTGCGTTTAAGATCGCGAGTTTGAAGCAATGCATCGATCCTTCGTTGACTCCAAACAGGCCCCCGAAATTATACAGTAACGCGACACTGAATTATACGTGGCGGGCAGCGAACTCCAACGCTCAGCCTAGGTGGTGGAAGCATGGAGCTGTAAACACATTATGGAAGCAACAGCACTCTGTCACGCGACGTCACATGCTTGCGCTTCAAATAGCGAGCACCGTAGACCCAACCTCGTTTCCAGGGTGTGGAGCAGGCTGCAGTACGCATTGCCATCGACAGTTTTGCATAGCCCGGAAATACTACGCAGTGTAGACTTTCGATCGGTCAGACCGCGCATGGCATACTTAATGTGTAGTCCTTCTGAGTATTCGTTGCACACGGCGCAGGGGCGGCAAGCGAAGCATATGAAAGAATAGGGGCACTTGGTGGCCATGCACCATGGAGAAAAAATATTTTACCAAGGTCACCCCATACACAATTTTGTGAACGCTTTTGCAGAACGGCTGAGTAAAACACGTAAACGGAACCCCTACGTCGAAGCCGCTGACCTCGCACAGTCTAGACACGCAGAAAAGCCAGGACAGGGGGCGGCCAGGCAGTCAACGTGAAAGCGCACACGACGGCAAATTCCTGCGCAAAATGCAGTCACGAAAAATCGACGAAAAGGATCGCCGGTCCGTACGGGAAAATCAGGACGACCCGAAGTGTCCGACCCGCCGGAAGACACCCTCCGCATTTTTCCACGGACGTGGAGCGATTTTGGCGCCGCGGGAGCCCGCGGTCTCGGATCCTTTCATGAGCAAACATCGTCTCGGAGGCCGAGTTAAACTCTCTCTTATATATATAGATATGTCCTGGACCCTCGCACAATCTCCGCAGGAAATGTTATGTGCGCGCACGTTGCTAAACGCAAATACAACTTGGGCGAGACTAATGGCGAGTCCAAATAGGCTCGCGTGCAGCAGAGGGTCTGATTCTTTATTTGACTTAACAGTTGTTTGGAGTTATTGGAGTTTAAAATATCGAGATTTCATTGTATACAGTAATTATTACGAAACAGTCAACTCCACCCATCTAGCGGGTGCCGCGCGAAGCGCGGCATCCCGCTAGTTGGGATTATTTCGATCACCCCTGTGACCAAAAAGGAATGTCAAATGGGGTTATGTCTGTGGTTTTAACTGCTGTTTGGGGCCTGAGAGATACTCCAGACATCCAAGAGGTTAATCAGGGGTGAATGGGCTGGTTGTGAGGGTCGGGTGGCTCAAATTACATGTTGTGAAGTGGACATTCCATACAGTCACTGGATAGTAAACATTAAAGGTGCTCGCTCCAGCAAGAGTAGTGGCCTAGCAATAATCGGGTGATGCCTAATCAATTTTTGTATGGGTTTCATGAGAAAGTTCCGATTCTCAGTTTAATTTACGTCTGCGCATCTGGAAATCGTTGCAAGATAATTTTAACTGACTTCTGTGCTTAGACCGCCTTATGTTTATAGATCAAAGTTCCCGTTTAGATTGTATCTAAAAAATTTCTTCATTGAACATTGTTTTGCTTTTCCAGTTTTCTTCAACAACCTAAGATGCAAACTGTTTGTTCTTCGCTTTTTTAGTACTGCAGGAAACACCGGAACAACCAACAAGTGACGAAAACTAAACCGCTCAAGCAACCGGGAAGGATACACATCATCATACACACTCATCTCCTTGTAAAGGGACAATATTTGTTTCATGGTATTTTGGACCATCAAAGTGTCCCTCGTAATTGCTGGTCGAATTCTTCTGTAGTCTCGTGACTGGTCTCGGCCTATAACCCGTGCATGCTGTAAAGCCATTATAATTATGGACAGCGGTACCTTGCTTCTCATGCCATTGTAGTATATTACTGACTGTGTAATCTACGGCACCAATCTATTTTAACAGTGCATTTCGGTTTGATGTAGTTTTGAATGAGAGTTATTCTTGTCAATGTATGTTTTTGTGCAGCATTATGTAGAGGGCAACAATCATGGGGGCTTTATTTGTATAATATACACATTGATAATAAGAAAACACCACAAGACCACCCCAAAAAACCAAAATATGCGAACAGGAGTTGAATCGATAATCAATTATATTATTGGACTCGCATCAATTTAGATATTTTTCAACGTCAGCTACTCAGTAGAATGAGTCCATTGATATAAATATATTCAAATGAAATTGAGAAACAAAAAGTTAAAGTGCAGTGGATACATACTGAGGGTGAAAATGTCAGACTCTCTTATACTTCTGATACACCGATAAACTTTAATTGTTATTTTAGGAAAAGCTAAGGATGTTGCGTATATACGGCGTAGAATAGGCCTACTTTAAGGTGAACAAACTTTGCCAAATACGTTGAATGAAAAAGAAATAATTTTGTATGACTTTTGTCACGCATAATTTTCGGCGTAATAGTATTTAAAAATAAACCTGCATTTTTAGCTGGGGATAACACTTAATAAACGTATAACTATACACACAGGAAAGCACTTGTTAAAGACTTATATCATTATCATGCTGCCAAACTGAATAATTTTGTATTAGAGCTATGTATAATGCTTGCCATAATATTTTGTTAGAACAAACTTGTATTTTTAACTAGGGATAATACTTATTAGATTTCTTATAGCTTTATATCAGCACACAAGAAAGCACTTATTGTAGCAATTTGTAGACCTATATGATTAACACGCTGCCAATATACAAATAAAAATAAAAACAAAATTATCTGAAAACTCAAAATGAGGGCCTCGTTTAAAGGTTTCATGAGATGAAGTTTTCTTATAGGCACACATTATGTGAAACTTTCTACTCCTCTTAAATGCATGAAAACTACTTGTATGATCCCTTTTTGGTTAATTTTTATCGAAAAGTGCACTTCAAACATTTATAATGTTTCCATACTTTTCCGGACAACCGACGGCGTTGTTGCTGTGATGTCATAACAGGAAGACACTGCTCAGTTTAGGGGTTTTCTGCTCAAAATCGTGAACTCAAAAATGTGCTCATTGAAAACATTTGTGAGAAAAGTTGACTCGCCTTACTGCCATGTACTGACACAATAACAGATCGACAAAGAAAGATCAATTTCGAAAGCAAATCATCACAAATTCTAACAACTTTTGATGCTGACACAGTTGTATAACATTGAGCTTTCTGCCTGAAATCACACTTTTGCTAATGAATATGAAAATTTGCATGAACAAAATGGTACCAAAATAGCCTTACAAATTGCGAAACTATAATTGAAAATAAAAGTGCATTTTCAAGGATTGCATTAAAGCATCCCCTACGCCCGCGGTTGTGTACAGACAATCCGAGCACGATAACAATTCTATCACAAAGGCCCCTTTCAATGGCGAAGCATTGTGCTAGCTATTGTTCAGATAATCCGGCACGAGGCATGCAGTTGTTTCGTGGAATAGCTTGCGTAATGGTTTCTCCATTGAAGGGGGCCTCGTGGGTGTATGCAGTGATCAGGTGCGCCATGCAGGATTCGTCAAAATAAATCAGCTGGATAGATGCGCAGGATAAACCTTGCACAAAATCGGGCAGAAACTTGCCTAACGGCGCATTTGGTAAAATCTCAGACTTTCTCGGATTTCATTAAAAACCATACTTAGCGTCACTGCCATATCCATCAACATGTTTGTCAGCGAAGGAGGGGTGATTTCTCGTCAAACTGGGAGTAGGGGAGTGGGAGGGGGCGGAGGACAATCTAAAAGACATTCCAGGTCGCAATTTTAAGTGGTTGGGAGGATTTTCGTCATCTTAGGTCGAGACGTTCCGAGGTCATACCATTAGAATCAGCTAAGCTATTCGTAGCAAGCGTTTTTTTGTTACACCGTTGTCTTGTAGGCCGCCCAGGAGTGGAGTAATAGCGGTATGGTTTTATACTTCCGAGGTAGCCTTCTCCTAGGTGGGAAGCCAACCAAGGCTGACGAGCCCCACCTGCACGGGTTTGGAATCAGAGTTTTCTGTCTATTTAGGAGGGATGCCTTAAACCTGCCTTCACATCTCACATGAAGCCAAGCAGTAGCTATCTGGTTTTCAGGCGCCAGAAACCTGCCTTCACAACTCTGCCATCCAGTGGCGCACCCAAGGGGGGGGGGGGGCCTCGGGGGCCGGAGGCCCCCCCCCCCAGGTTGTCAATTTAATGTTTTATTTTTTGGGTAATTTTTTTTTAGTCCTACAATTTGACCTTGGTCATATGTACGTGGCCTATTTTCGAGTAGTATAATAGGATTGTAAGTGGCGCCACCAACGTCAAAATAGTCCGCCCCAAAAAAAAATTTGGAAAAAAAATAGCTTCTAAAAAATTTATAAAAGAAATTAAACACATTGTGAGCCCTCCCCAGCCAAATCCTGGGTGGGTCACTGCTGCCATCGGTGATGAACAGCGAAAGGCACATGAAGCCAAGCAGTAGGAGTTTGGTTAGGAGAGGCTATTCGAGACGCTGACTTTATCGAATATTTCAAGGGAGAGGAGTGGCTCAATTCTTTTCTTATTATATGATTACCCATGTTTTTTCATCGGTTGCCATCCCAACCACGGCCATCTACAAAATTGCTTTTGATACCATATTGACCACTGATTAACGTTACAGGAAAAGTCACCCAATTTCGTGCCGATCGACCGAAGCGTTTCACAAGAAAGCGTGGGCAATTTAGGCCTGTTTAGGCCCCCCCCCCCCAAAAAAAATACTTCTGCTTCCGGTTACCCAATCGACCCTATTTGTAGGCTGCGACCCTACAAATTCTATCGGCAATTCAAAAAAAAAATGTTTGAATAAATAAAAATAAAATATTGTCTTTTCTGTCTTCACAAAATACCTCTCAACAACCCTTTTGCGTCAAAAAATGCTTATTTTTACAAATAAAAAATATTAAAATGTTATTTTTACAAATAGCTTCCCGTCTTGACTAGCGTTGTGAATATGGTGCAAACGACCTGAATTTTCCAATATTTTTTAAGAATTATCCAACGTAAATATTATGTTGACCGTAGAAAGGTTTTAATCACATTTTGTGGCCATTTTGGGTATAGCTTTCGTAGTGCAATGGAAATAGTTCAGGCTAATCCTTCCCATATAATTGAATACCCCATTCAATCTGCATAAAAAATGTCCCCCCCCCCAAAAAAAGTTTCCGACCGACCGACCCTATTTTTGAAAGGCATGTGAATCGGAAGCAGAAGTATTTGTTTTTGGCCTTAATGCTTCGCAACCAAATATTACTGCAGTGTCACTGACAAATGTTTGCGATATATTGCCCAGACAATTTAAAAAATAAGTCTGTTTTTGATGAACGTCTTGAACATGGATGTTAGTTACAGGCTCGTCATATACATGAGGGTAAATATGAGCCGCAAGCCAGTGACAAAACATGTCCGTCACAACTGAAGGAAATGATGTTCTGGGGTCCGCTCATAAGTCCGACGCCTCATAGGTCCGACGCCTCATAGCTCCGAAAAATCGCATCCCCCAACTACATAAAGGCCCATAAGTCCGACACCTCATAAGTACGACGCCTCATAGCTCCGACGCCTCGTACGCTTCGTTTTTCCGACGTCGGACCTATAAGGCGTCGGACTTATGATACGGCCGCGATGTTTTAACCAGGACTTGTTTTCGGCTCAGCCGCCCTTTACGTGAGCAATTTGGTGCATTGGTACTCCACACAACTATGCCACTACCCGATGTTTGATATATTGCCCAGACAATGTCAGAGGTTAAATCTGTTTTGGATGAACGTCTTGAACATGCATGTTCGTTACAGGATCGTCATACATGAGGGTAACTATGAGCCAGTGTCAAACCACACGCGTCCCTTCCAATGTTCACCCATGTTGACCTTGCCGTAGTTGTCCCACCCAGTTCTCGGTAGTCGAGTCTTGCGAAGCGGGCGCTTTCTATATCTGGTCTTCGGTCATTCACCCGTTGTCGCGTTTGAGACATCGATAAAATAAACCTATAGGCACTACGATAATACGCTATAAGTGATAAGCGTACGCCGCGCCAAGCTTGTCTTGGTTTTATATATCTATGCCCGGCCGGCCGTTGTATTACAAAAACACTTCATTCGAACTGACAAATCAAACCTTAGTCCAGACTTCGAACTGAAATGACGTCACGATTAAGTAAAGTCGACTCCGATAGGCTGGCGCGCGGGGTCGCATTAAATTGCGTGCTTTTATGTATCAGACGTTTGACCGGAGACGTACAGGACTCCGTGGAGAACGGGTGATATTCAGACTAAGTTCTCGGCCGCTCATCTACATAGATTATGTTGCACTTTTTTTTTAATTGTATAACACATTAATACATTTCCTTATGAAGTGTATCTTTAGTATATCTATTTAGTTTCATTGACATTAGGTCACAGGTTTAAACCCTGCTCCAGTCAGTTTCTATGTTCAACTTTGAAAAACTATTAACATAATAATAACACGAATAGATTTAGAGCAGATCTAGATTTTACGTGAAATTTCACGTAGAATCTTGTCATTGAGAGGGTGTTGGGGGTGAGTTGGGGTTCAAGCATTCCGATGTGTATGACTATGAGGTAATGTCTGGTATGTGTGGGCACGTGGTGCCTACTACAATTTGTTTCCTAGCAACACAAACAAAACCACGTAGCCTAGACAAACAACGTCGGAGGATTTATTGCATGGGAGCCAGACGGATATCTGCATGTTAACCTGTTAACCCCAACACACCCTTCAGGATGCCTAGCGCCATATAAACCCGATTACCAACCCGTCGGTTCATATTCGGCTCCAAGCTGATCTCTCCTTAAGACGTTTGTAGGCCTATTACTTTCTCTCATCGTATTCGAAAACAATAATGTCTTATTCTGCATCGAATCTGCTGGTGTTGGCTGCCACGCTGATCACCATTACTGCGCCCTTACGTAAGTGTGAAACTGAATTGAATTGTTCGTTTTCAACTGTAATTTTACAATTATTTTCTATTGCAAAAAAAAACCCGTGGAAACCTGTAAGCAGGCAACTGATTTGAAAGCTGAAACTTTGTATTTCTGTGGTTTACAGTTACTAGCATACTTTGTTTATGAATCATGTGTTACTGGACTATCAACTAGCGCTGCAACGGCTCGAGTTTGTGAAGATCAAATTTGTATGGCCGAAATTCCTTCGCGTGATGATTTCATGAAAATCGCCATTTTTCAAGAAGTACTTCATGGACGTCTATTAGACTTCTTTAAAATATTTGTCAAACTGTTATGATTTCATTTACAGAAATGCCTTTCAGAGCCCAAATAATGGCGCATTCCAGGCGAAAATAGCCCTTTAATTTGTCAAGAATTTATATTTAAACGATTTTATTTGAACAGTGTGTTCAGCAGTGGCGTAGCCAAGGTGAAGGGGGGGGGGGGCTGGGGGCACGTGCCCCCCACGAATTCCAAGTGCACCCAAGATGCCCCCCCCCCCCCACAAACAAAAAATCTGAAATGTCCCACTTGCCAAGGATCAAGTGTCTTTTCAAAGTATTTTTTATTAGTTATTAAAAGGAAGAGGAATCTAGATTACCATTTTGACTTCCCTGATCCGCACGTACGGCATTATGAAATGTTCATAATTTGAAAAAAAAAACGCCCTCTATAGTCAACAGAGGTCTTGCCCCCCCCCCTTCGAATAAGCAGCACTTGCGGTGCCCTGGAAATTTGGAGGAAATGTTGTTGTTGGGTCCACCCTTGGTGCTCCCTCATTACATGCTGGTATC